TACAGGTATCTCATGTATTGTTGCGTTTAGATATTGTCAGTGACATGCCTATTGAAATGTATATAATCTCAGGAGATGTTGCTAGAGTGAATGGCCAACTAGCTGTATCTCGCGCTTTTGGAGACAAAAACCTGAAATCACACTTGAGCTCTGATCCTGATGTAACAAATGCTGATGTTGATGCGGAAACAGATCTTCTCATACTTGCAAGTGATGGTCTATGGAAGGTGCCATTTGCTCGAAACATCTCGTATCCCTTTCTGTTTTGGCACTCTGAGGTGCATTTTTTCCTTTTCTTGCTTTTGATTGCGGATTTCTCCAGGTAATGTCTAATCAAGAGGCAGTTGACATCGTGAGGAAGGTCAAAGATCCAGAGAAGGCAGCCAAGCAGTTAGCAATCGAAGCATTGGTCAGAGAAAGTAAAGATGATATCTCATGCATTGTTGTCCGATTTAAGGGGTAATTTTGATCCATGGGAATTTATCAGTGTGCAGTATATATATTTATTAGAGGGGTATTTGTTAGATGAGGCGCGTTTTATAGACTGACAGACAGCATTAAGTCTCAGACAATCCTGCATAAATTATTAAAATGTTTCCACAAAAGAGATTATGCTATGTTCCTCTCCCCCAACACTCTGTAATATTTAAATTCTTTACTCGGGCCGTGTGGTTGTTATGTGTTGATTTATTCAGTTTGTAGATTCTCAGAATCATTCTTTCTGTCACTTTACATGAACACTTCAATTGTTGCATTTGTTGAAAAACTATTATTGCTTCATGAAATGGTGAAAATGAGTATGTTTTTTGATGATTTAGGTCAACAATCTAATTTTGTAGAATGCCAAAATTTCATAGTCATAGTATGATGTTTCCAAATCGAAAATCAAAATGTAAGTTATAGAGTTCTTGATCTTGAAATGGATACATAATTTGGTGAGACTTATATGATTTTTCATTATCGACTCAATTCGTATCTATTTTTTCAAGCATCTCAGTGTAACCATTGGTGTAGTGATGAAATTCTCGTCATAACAGAGGGGAAAAAAGAAGAAGAGAACAACAACTTCTTCATTTGTAACTACCAACAAATTTTTAATTTATTAGTTATATATCTGTTCAGCTATATTAATTTAAACGGTTGGATGGACGCTGGATGGCTGTTTAGATTAATTATAATACTGTTTGAGGTATAAAAAAAAAACGTAGACAAGAAAGAATTAAGACTCGTACAAACAAGAGACACAAGTTAATTAACAACTCAGCGTTATCAAGTAGCTAGGGGGTTGACTGGGATGCAAGGCCACAAGGGAATTGTCAATAAATCGTGTTGAACAATTCAACAATTATAAGTAGCTCCAATTTATGTGGCTGTCTCGAAAATAAGAAAACGACGTGTCAACCCAACTCGTTATCGCAAAATTAATTGAGGTTCTAAATTTTATGGGTTCTATATTTAAATTCTTATCATTGAACTTATTATACTTTTAAAGTATGAGTTCATATTTATTTTTCATTATAATTTAATGTAATTTTATATGCATGATTGAGAGAGAGAATATTAAAAAAATAAAAAAAATATTTTTTCTGGCTACTGTCATTAATTCTCCCACCCACTACCACCGTAGATATATGCAACTTCTTACCGAAAAAGATAGGCACCTATACAAGCTTTGAATTTAATTTCTACACTACTTTTCTCCTTTAGTCTTCCCCTGTCTTATGGTATTTGATCAGTAAGACCCACTCATTTTTGGTCCCTTTTGGTTAGGATATCGTCTATTCATGTCACCTTTTATCATGTTATTAAATACAATTTTTTTTCTATTTTCATGCCATGAGCTTTAACCTGTATATACGTATTTGAATGGTAAAACGTTTATTACTGGGAGTATTCTTGCATGAATGTGAATCTGTCCAGATTCTTTGACCAATTACGAAGACAAATAATTATACGGGTTAATTTCTTTATTACTAGTAACAAAACTAACATAAATTCAGAGAGTAAATGATTGCCAATTAATGGTGGGGAATATTACTCTCATTAATAAAATCTTCACCATTAACCTAAAATCTCGTTTGCATTAAAAATAGCAAATACCCTTATTTCTTTTTTCCCCTCAAAATCTATACTATTTGAAATTTGGAATCACAGAATATTATATTACCAAAGGAACATTCTTCCAATTTTATTACTTAAATATATTATTTTCTAACAATCTTGTTCATTTTATATTTCCCGGGATAATTAACTGACAGCAACAGCGACGGTGGTAAATTTTTGCATGCAATGACGTTTTGTCTAATGTTTTTATGGTCCACAATCACTCATTAAGCTGTTCAACCCGACCCGTTTTTGCCTATAATGCGTTTTCTTGGACCTCAAATTTCTCATTCTTGTCGTCTACCACCGCCGGGAGAATTTTTCGACCAAGGGGCAATGACGGAAAGTACTTCTTCCTCCATAGCTCCGTTGCTTCTCAGAAACTTATTGACATCGGCGTTTATCTTCGCTGATAAACCCTTCATTCTCTTAGCAGAAAGATATAAACTTCTGGAAACTATACGTTATTTCTTGATTTCAGCTTTTCTCTTCTTTCTTCGCCTTTTACCATCTTTATTCCCTTCTCTGAATCCTTCTGGAGAAAATTATGGCTATCCTTTGAAGCCCAAAAAGGGGGAGATTTATTCTCCGGTCGCCGCGAGCGGCCGTGCGGAGTCGGGGATATCTAGAGCCTTGACTCAAGTGTTGTCGATTGTGAATGATATTCCAGTGAGTTCAAGGAAATATGAAGTGGTGAGATCATTGGCCGAGAGGCTAATTGATGAGAATCTCTTGGAGGGTAACAAAGCTTTGAGGGAAGTGAATTGCGCCGCTTTGTCTGCGGCTTTTACGCGGACGCTTAGTCAGCTTGAATCAGCCATGGTGGCGGAAGAAGGCGGAGGTGGTAGTGGACTTGTGTCTGGTGGGGGCCGAGACGGCGGCTATTACGTAGGTAAGTTGAGCCGCGGCTTGAGGGCGATTAGGTATTATGGCGACGTTGTGTGGCAGCGCGGTAGGGCGAGGAACCAGATGAGCCAATTTGGTTGCTCGGCTGAGAAGCTGGCGGCAGAGTTGCTATGGCTTGCTCAGAAGATGGAAGCTTGTGGTTGTGTTGATGAAGCTGTTTATATGTGGGCTTCGGCTTCACATGTTGCTTGGCTTGCTCTTTCTGCTGAACCGCGGCTTCAGGGGTCTCTTGTTAAGGTTTCAGGTAATTGTCTGTGGAATATTCTTTAATTGCATTTTCTAATTTTCGCAATTCCATGCGGGCAGTTATGGATCTGTTTCAGATTGAAGCATATTTGTTGTTGTTGTACGCGGAGATATGGAGCATAAATTATACTATAGATTTAAAGTAAAAGTTGATCTGTATTGAACAAAATATGTACAGAGAACTCATCTGATATGGATTATGAGCAATCTAGTGAATTAGTATGTCCAATCGTCTATAATCGCTTAATGATCTCTCATTGCATTTGCACTGCAGTGGGGTATTTAGATTGTAGTAGCAACTGCATAAGCCTGAATGATTGCAGACACCTACATATTTTGCATTGTACAGCCTCAGATTTCCCTTCGGAACATCTTTTAATCCATTTTACAATTTAAACTAGATTTCTACAAGAGTAGAGTCTTTCGTATAAGCTTCTATGGCCATAAATGTTCTCTTCTGAATTCCCCAGCTTTCCATAACCATTTGAATTGGAAGTTTTTATTGGGTACTACATGAATTGCTTTCAAATTGGGTCTTATTTAATTGTTTTTTTTAGATTGTAAAGCGCCATGTTCTGAATTTCTCTTTGTGCAGCTTTCTTATTCAAACAATCCAGAGAAATAGGAAAAATCGCAGAGGATGAAGAAAGTACAAAAGAGCATCTCAGGCGGACAAACATGAATATGCTGATGTCATGGCTGCCATTGCTATGTCGAGCAAGCAATGGCACAGACGCTCCAGTCCTGAGTATTAGCGAAAGGGCTGAGCTTGAAAGAATATTAGAGCAGATCATAGGGACATTGGAACAAGAAGAGGAGCAAGAAAAGGTGTTGTCCCTTTGGCTTCACCATTTCACCCATTGCCCTTCTTCTGACTGGCCCAACCTCCATGATTGCTACACTCGCTGGTGCACAGCTTCTCGTAAGCTCTTGCTTCACTGAATTTTCCACGAAAAACCTTTGGGTTAGATTGATTCTAACTACTTGGAGCCTATTTTTCTTTCAAGAAAAGAGTCTCTAATGGGAAGTGGAGGAAAAAATTATATTGCTATGTTAATTCCTCTATCTGGTTCATTAGTTTGTGTAGGTTTTGCTCCTTAGCAGGAAAATGCCTATGAAGGTCCAAAGAAGTGTATCAGTTAGCTATGTCTTGTAATTATTTTTCCTTTAGTTCAATTTACAAGTCCAGAGCATATGTACATTTGATATTGTTTATAAAGTGCTCCAATTTACAGAGCAGACTAGTTTACTTAATTTCAGGCCTCAAATGTTCTTTCCTGCAGATTACATCGACTTCTCTGGTTTATTAACATTTCAAAGTTTTATTCTTCTAGTACTCACTTCATTTTGTGATATATCAACATAGAAACATCCCTCGAGAACTAATGTCGAAAACGACCCTGAGATTTTACGTGATATCTATTAGCAGGTTAGTGCATATTTAATCTATTAGAAACTAAAGACTAGCAGGGATGTGGTGATTTCTAGCCTTCCATGTAAAACTGTGTTTCTTTATATTTCCAGTTGTTCATGTGCTTACAATTATCCTTCACTCCCTGTTCGAATTTTGAAATGACAAACTCTGCTGCAAATTCATGACATAAAGGATGTGACAACATGTAGCTGTATACACGTTGACCGAGCAAATTTCCATCTGGAAGCTTGTTCAGCAATTTTGATAATGTAAACACGATGAAAATATATACTATCAGGATTCACGCCATAACAATACTACGAGTAAATCTACACGTGATGGTGAGGGAAGTCATACTCAAGCTAGAGTTGAATACTTAAGTTCCTATATAGCCACCAGCTTCGAGTGTATATCAAACGGCTCAGATGAGGATAGTTGAGGCTCCTGGGCAAGACCAATAAAATGCATTAGACAAGCATGATGATGATGCAATAGGCCAATGGTGCACTTGTAGAAGCGTACCTGAGTTTCGTTTGCACCATTAAGGCCTAGTCCTTTCTGTGCTTCTTGAATCTTATTTTGCATACTCATAATTAGCCGTCCATAAGTCAATTTAGTCTCTTGCTCCAACGTTTGGATGAAACTATAAGTCAGGGCACCCATAGGAACGCCTGTGAATGCCTGTAAAAATCCAAGGTGCGGACATTTTGATGATTGAAGGTGGCTAAAAGTGAGTATTTCAATATTCTCTTGAAATACAAAAGTTATGATTAAGAGCCTGTTTGGATGGGCTTTTAAGCTGGTCAAACTGGCTTAAAAGTCAGTTTTTTACTTATTAGAGTGTTTGACAATTATCAAAGTGACTTATTTTAAGTCAAAAATGACTTATTTTAAGCCAAAAGCTAAAAGCTAGGTGAGGGGAGCTTCTTTTTTTTTAACTTAAAAGCCCTTTTATGTTGACCAAGTATATTACCTTTTTGCCCTTAATTCTTTTATACAATTTCCAAATTGCCCATATTGAATTATTATTATTATTATTATTATTACTATTACTATTACTATTATTATAATTATTATTATTATTATTATTATTATGTTTATTATTATTATAATTATTATTATTACTATTACTATTACTATTATTATTATTATTATTATTATTATTATTACTATTACTATTACTATTACTATAATAATAATAATAATAATAATAATAATTATTATTATTATTACTACTATTACTATTATTATTATTATTATTATTATTTTATTATTATTATTATGTTTATTATTATTATAATAATAATAATTATTATTATTTTATTATTATTACTATTACTATTAGTATTACTATTATTATTATTATTATTATTATTATTATTATTATTATTATTATTATTATTTCTTCTGAAATATGAATTTATATTCCTCTTATAAGGTGGTAAAGAAATATGTGAATGATAGGAAAATATTATTACTTATGGATGTAAAACATAAATTAATTTTGTTTTAATTTTTTTTAAGTATAAAAACCTTAAATTAATCAACTTTTTATTATGTTAATAGCTTAAAGGGTATTTCAGACATTTGATAAAAAAAAGTGTTTACCAGCACTTACTTGCCAAACACATCAACAACTTTTTTTTCAACGGCAGCACTTTTATCCAAACATATAACTACTTATTTTTAAAATAATCTCCAGCACTTTAAAAAGTTACTATTTAAAAGTTACTTTTTTTAAGTCAATTCAAACGGGCTCTAAGACTTAATCATGTTAGTATACTTGCATTAATTTGGTGTTTGCCAGGAGTCCCTTTTAAAAAAATAAATAGAGATTCTAAAGTGACTATAGATGTGTGATATTAACATTTCAGATACTGACCGTTGTATCTCCAGAACTTTGATGATCGTCACAGGCACTGATAGAGAAAGCGGTTCCGCCGCTGGTACCTTTGTATCCTCGAATCCGATGGTCTTCCCACTTAAAGTATCCTGCCCTGCTTGAAAACATTTTGTCATACTACTTTTACGCAGGAACAAGTATCAAAAAAGGTTGGTTGATCAATAACCTGTTTATTCTGCACAAAAAGGGCAAATCTAGGAAAGTTCCACTGAAGCATGTATCAATTATTCCATGAAGTATGGCTCCAGGGGGTAAAGGCCTTACAATGGTACTATTGATCTCATCATCTAGTATCCTTCCTTCTGTTTCATAATCAACAGGGCATAATGATTCATCATGACCATCAATCTCATCACCATCACGGTCTCGTACTCGTGCCCCATGGCCAGAGTAGTGGAACACTAGTGAATCTCCTGACCGACAACCATGAACAAGCCAACGCAAGGCTGATCTGATATTAGCCTTGGTTGGGTATTTGTATGGATCTTTCTCATCCTCTGCAAAAAACAATTTTTTTTGTGTATTACATGTTAGAAATCTGACTGTTAATGTTCAAATATATACCTCGACTGTTTTCATTAGTGTAAGAAGATTACAATACATACCTGTAAGGACAATTACTGATGCAATTGGGAACCCCAATTTCTCTACCAGAAAATATCTCATGGATAAAGCATCATTAATGCTTCCCTTAAGACTCTTTGCATGACCACGGTAATTGATTCCGCACAGAACTGCTCGTTTTCGTCCATGTACTGCAGGAGGTCGGATATTATTAATCTGTGGTGACATAGGGCGGTTGAATTGTTGGGGCTGGAAATTATTATTATTAACATTTGGACTCATCCTTCTTGGCCTTGCAGGATAAGCTGGAAATTCCAGGCGCATATTGTTATTAGCAGGGGGGAAATTAGCAAAGCTATTGTTTCTTGGAGGTTGGAGTTGTGTAACAGATTGGCATCTTGGACAGATAATTATTTGTGCTCCAATTGGAGCTGCTATATTCATGCCGCACCGCTGGCATTTGCATCTTCTCCTGTCCATTATGTGAAAAGGTGAAAGATGAAAGAAGAGGTGATCAAAGTGAAGTTTTCTTTTGATTACTTTGAGAGGATCGTTCAAGATTTATATAGGATGGTAATATGATGGTTTAATTAGACGTTGTTTGAAAAGCTAGCTAGTGTGGGCTAAATAAATCAATGGACAGTTTTGGTCTTATCGAAAATAACAGTGAAGATCCCAATCAAAAAGTGAAAAAAATATTCCTAGTTGGAGGAATCAAGACAATTCTAGTCTAGTTATAGTACTGTTGATTGGGTGCATGCTTCAAAATCAAAATTTATTCTGTGCGCTTATATAGAGGATCTTTTAACACATCTCCAAAATTTAAGCTAAAGCCTACCGAGTTTAGATCAACCCCTAAATCTAAATGTTATTCCCTCGGTCTCTATTTACTTGTCCACTTTTAAATTGACACACCTATTAAGAAAACAATGATTGACATAGTGAGTTTATCATTTTATCCCTATTAAAGTATGAAGTGGATAAATTAAAAACTTAAAGATTTTCAAAAAGTTCTACTTTTTCAAAGTAATTAATTGAGGGTATAATAGGTAAATTTTTTTTGTTCTATTTATCAAATTTGACAAGTAATTAGGTACAACTAAAAAAGGAAAAATGGATAAGTAATTATGGTTAGAGGGAGTATATCCATCCAAATCCTAACCGTCATATATGGGGCAGTTTTACGACATTCAACTTTCAATTTGTTGCATGCACCAAAACCATATATAAAGCTGATTTTTATTTTATAACGAAAGAGAAACTTAATTATAAAGAAAAAAAACTTAATTATGCCTATATAATGTAGAAAAAAAAATAATGAGAAAAGTAGATTGACGTATTTACAAAATAACCATGCAAGTATAATTATATCAACTACTCACAAGGAGAACTTTAGTATCTGAGTTGGTTGACTACTGAACTTTCATCCTATTGGTGAGGAATCAATTCCTCGTATTATAATTTCCTTTTCCTCATGGGTGACGATTGATTCTCCACCTTATAATTTTCTAATTTTGTGAAAAGAAAAGAAAAAACATCAACAACTCACAATATATATAATACCACGTGGTATTTAGAAAAGAAAAAAGAACTCATTTTCTGAAGCAATCTATTACCGAGTGACTAATATTTCTTGACTTTTAAAAAAATATTCTGCGATGTCTTAGACATAAATTGAGTTACTTTTTCTTTCATAAATTACTTTTTGTTACAGTGCAATTAATAAACTAAAGTTAGATGATCATGATATCAATATCTATAAAAGTTGGCAATTAAGCACTTGGAAGATAATGAATTAACTAACACATGCATTTAGGGGGGGAAATATTTTGTATTTCAAATCAGCAAAAAGCTTTATTCTGTTTCTGTTGTGGATTGGTATGGTGAAAAACAAAAGAATCAATCTATTTGAGCCTTTCGGCATGATATTATTCATCTTGTCTTCTGAAGGTATGATTTTTTTTCCCCATGATTCTCTTAGAAAATTGAGCATTTCTATAATTTTTTGAATGCATTGTGTGGAAAATTAGCTTAGTCAAAGAATCATATTACCGTTTCGTGAAGAATTACTCAATATTTTCCAGAAACCGAATTTCGCTACACAATTTATATATAACACGTTGCCTGAGGACTTATTAAATTAAGAGAAAAATAATATTCTTACTGATCGTGTGTCGTCTTTGGTCTTTATCTTAGCAAAAACAGAAAAGGTTCAAAAATGTTTTTAAACTATGTCAAATTGCATGAATACAACAACTTATCATTAATATTTTGATTTAAAAATATCCTTTTAATATTATATAATGGGTCAAAAATATCCTTTTGCTTTGAACACATTTTTTTTTCTAATTATATTTTTTTAATTAAAAAATATTTATCCTACCTCAATTAAAAAAATAAAAATTAAATATTAAAAATATTTCTTATTTAATAATAATTTTTTTTATCGTTATCTAAATGAAAATTAATGATGAGTTTACTGTGATCTTACATATATGACATATATTATCCGTTAAAAAGGTACATAAAATTATTCTATTTTAATTGATCAAAAAAACATATTTATTAGTCAAAATAATTCCAAAAGATGGATTTCTATAGTGTTGTAGCGTAGCAAGAAGCCCCAAATCCTTGATTTGGCCAGGAAAGACTGCACTGCTTTGGGAAGAAAGAAAATATGAATAACATTCTTTCAAAATAATATTTTTATTAGGAATAACATGTGTTTAAAAAGAAATATATATATATACTTATTCGAAAAAAATATTTTTGACTAATTTAGTAATAATAGGGGCATATTTGATCTATTAAGAGCATTTTAAAAAAAATCATTTTCCGTAGTAAAAATTAGACAAAAGGAATAACCTAATAATTAATGATGTGGGTTAACAACGATGAGTCTTAAGTTTAAATCTCAACCGAGGCAAACACATCATATACTATCTTCCTACCTGTCCTAACCTTGGCGAACATTTACGGACACCTTTAGCCCAGTGGAATTAGTGAGGTTTAGCCACCATTTCATATGTAATTAGAAAATAGCAAGTTTTAATGCGAAAATAATACCTAAACAAAATTTCTCTGGCAAATGAACTCGGTGCTTAAAGTTCGAAACTTTGACAAGTAGAATGTGCTGGATTTCGGAACGTTCATGGAATTTGAAACTCCAACAACAATCTTGAGAGTTTGAAATTTATAAAGGTTCAAACAGATTTGATGGCTTCCATAGCTATGTCGAGCAAGCAAGGGCACAGACACTCCAGTCTTGAGCTTGAAACTAAAGAGTATTAGGGCAGACATTAGAACAAGAAGAGGAGCAAGAAAAGGGGTTGTCCCTTTGGCTCTTTAACCTATTTCTCTCTCCCTTTTTTTTTTTTATAATTGCTGTGTTAATTCCTCTGTCTGATCCATCAGTTTCTGGGATGTATGAATTGCTCTTAGCAGGAAAATGCCTTTGATCTTGTAATTAAAATTTATTTTGATAGTGTTTATAAAGTGCTTATATTTACAGCAAATTGAGTAGATGCTCTAATCACTCTATCAGGCAACTGTTGGAGCTGTCCATTCAATTTAATCTTGTTATACAAAAATAAAATCAGGCATTGTACCATATAATAGGGTTAGTGCCGCAATATCTTCTATTGGGGTTTCGACACATAATATGGTTCTATTATCGATTAACGAGGAAGAAAAACATTCATTTATGGTTTAATTATCTGTCAGTTTTAAGTGCCCTGCAAATTTATCTGATTATACGGAGAAAGACATATCTTCTTCATCATCTATCTTTTCAAATACACCGTCAACAATAAAATAGGGCTTTTGATATACGAAAAAATCACACTGCGCGGCGTCTCCTATAGAGAGATTTTGATAAAATCTTGTGATATATGGACATGGAAAGAAAAACAAATTCAGGACATAAAGGATGTGACCACAAACAACATGTAGTTGAAGACGAGCTGTTCTGAACAAATTTCCATCTGGAAGTTTATTCAGTGTTTACTGATATAGTTTACATAACGAAAATATATGATCACGATTCACACCAGAACAGTACTATATGAGTGAATCTACACGCGATAGTAAAAGGAAGTGTTGAATTTATTACAACAAGATAAAATGTTGAGTTTTATTAGTAGGAACAAAATTATATATTATGCCTGGGAAGTTGTACTCGGGCTGGAGTTGGATACTTTAAGTTCCTATATAGCCACCATCTTTGAGTGAATATCAAACTGCTCAGATGAGGATAGTTGGGGCTCCTGGGCAAGACCAATAAAATGCATTATTATTAGACAAGTACGTACGATGAAGATGATGCAAAGCTGCATGCAGTGAAATTTTTTGATTCTCATAAAAGCGTACCTGAGTTTCATTTTCACCATTAAGGCCTATGCCTTTCTGTGCTTCTTGAATCTTCTTCTGCATACTCATGAGTAAGCGTCCATAAGTCAATTTAGTCTCTTGCTCCAATGTTTGGATGAAACTATAAGTCAGGGCACCTGTTGGAAAGCCTGTGAAAGCCTGCAGGAACCCAAGGTGCGACATTTTGATGATTGAAGATGTTTAAATTAAGTGAACGTAATCTATAATCTCTCGAAATCCATGTGGCTTAGTACACAACACAACACAGTAGAAGTAAAAGGCCTATACCGGCGATACAAACTAGTTATGATTATAGCTTTTGTCGTGTTAGTACACTTACAGTTTGGTGTTTGCCTTTTAATTTGTGTAGAGATTGTGAAATCAGTATAGGAATAGTTAGTTACAAATACTAACCGTTGTATCTCCAGAATTTTGATGGTCGTCACAGGCACTGATAGAGATTGCTATTCCACCATTAGTACCTTTGTATGAGCGGATCCGATGGTCCTCCCACGTAAAGTATCCTGCCCTGCTTGAAAACATTTTGACATACCACTTTTACTATAGCTTAATATGATGTTTCATTGCATTGATCAAAGTGTCCAAACGGTTAGTTTCTCAATAACCTGTTTATTCTGCACAAAAAGGGCAAATCTAGGAAAGTTCCACTGAAGCATGTATCAATTATTCCATGAAGTGTGGCTCCGCGGGGTAAGGGCCTAACAATGGTATTATTGATCTCATCATCTAGTATCCTCCCTTCTGTCTCAAAATCAACAGGACATAGTGATTCGTCGTGCCCATCAATCTCATCACCATCATGGTCTCGTACTCGTGTGCCATGGCCAGAGTAGTGGAACACTAGTGAATCTCCTGGCTGACAGCCTTGAACAAGCCAACGTAGGGCTGATCTGATATTGACCTTGGTTGGGTATTTATATGGATCTTTCTCATCCTCTGCAAATTTTGTGTATTTATATGTTAAATTAAGGCTAAAATAAGCATTTATGATCTAGTCGTGAATTGTAAGTAGGTGATCAATCATACATACCAGTAAGGACAACCACTGATGCATTTGGAAACCCCAACTTCTCAACCAGAAAATATCTCATGGATAAAACATCATTAATGCTTCCCTTCAGACTCTTTGGATGGCCACGGTAAGTAATTCCGCACAGAACTGCTCGTTTTCGTCCATGTACTGCAGGAGGTCGGATATTATTAATCTGTGGTGACATAGGGTTGAATTGTTGAGGCTGAAAATTATTAGCATTTGGACTCATCCTTCCTGGCCTTGATGGAAAAGCTGGAAATCCCGGGCTCATATTGTTATTGGCAGTGGGGAAATTAGCAAAGCCATAGTTTCTTGCAGGTTGGAGTTGTGTAACAGATTGACACCTTGGACAGGTAATTGTTTGTGCTCCATTGGGAGCTGCTATCTTCATCCCGCACCACTGGCATTTGCATCTCCTGCTGTCCATTGTGTGGATGGTGATCAAAGTGGATTGACTACTTGAGAGTTGAGATGATCAATCAAGATACATGGAAGGCATTTATATATGACGCGACACAGGCGAAAGCATGATTTAAATTTTATGGTCCAAACACTATACTTGATTTTTAATATTACTTGTACTTGTTTAGTGAATCTTTTAACATACATACAAGATTTGAGCCAAAGCTACTCGGTTCAGATGAATCCGTAACTATAACGCTTGGAGAAATTTTACAATATTCAACTTTTAGTTACCAAAATTTATAAAGTTGACTTTTTATATTGAAAACGTAAATCAATTATGCCTATATAATGTACTTACAAAATAAAAATATCAAAAAATGTAGGTTGTCGCGTTTACATAATAATCAAGTTTAGTATGACTTCATTAGCAACTCAACAAAAAACAACAGCATACATCAACAACTCACCATACATTTAAAAAAATAATTTAAGCGGTATTGGACTGTTGGGTTGATAGTTGATAGTTGATAGTTGATACTATAAAATTAATTGATGAAGTGACGACCTAAATTGAATTTAAACATTTTTTCGTATTTTTTTTTTATGTATATATAGACATAAATGAGTTACTTTATCATTTCAAAATTCAATTTATGATTTTAGTACAATAAACTAGATGATCATGGTTAAGTTAACCCCATATCAATATCTATCAAAGTGGGCATTAAGAACTTCAAATAGAATTAATTCGATCTTGGTTTACAATTAGAGATAATTATACCTAATTTTTTTTATGCTCTTCCAGAAGAAAAAAAGAAGTAAAGTTGATACAAATAAATATTTCTCTGATACCCCTATATCAATAATCATAACGCAACATCGTTTGCCCTGTATTTTGATGTGTCAAGTGGCTATCTCCTTGTGCTTTTGTATGTCAAATCAGCAAAAAAAGCTTTATTCTCTTTCCATTTTCTTGATTGGGCATTATATTCTTTCATAACCATGAATTTTTCTTTTTTCAGCAGTGTACTTTACCTCTCTTTAGCATATCAGAGTATCGGAAGGGAAAGTTTGAGAAGATAAATTTCAATTTGCTGGTTGCATCGGATGCTAATTTTGTCGTGGGAATTGTCATTTCTAGTCAAAAGAATCAAATTTGTGTTTCATTAAGTACTAATTAATAAATATTTTTGAGAATCCGAATTTTCTCAAAGAATTATTAAATTAAGAGAAAATAATATTATTTTAACTATCACATTTCATCTTTAATCGTAGAAAATGAATATTGGAAGCAACTAGGAAAATTAATATGCGATCTCCATCTTATTCGATACATAATGCGAAAATAATATACACTAGTTTAAGCTTCCTTCTAGAAGTATCGTATTCTCTTCACTTAATTAAATATACATAGTTCAATTTTCGCCTTTTTAATAACAATATAACATATTCGGTTTAAGAGGTAAATTTTTGGCTTTTAACAAAAAATAAAACAAAATATTGTTTTGACCTCCAAATCTTGATTTGGTTATTAAGTAAAGTAAATACGTTGTTAAATAAGCTTATTAAGAACTATAAATAAATAAATGAAACGTAATGATCCGAATTCACACTGATGCCAGGTGTTCCCTTATCCTTAACGATCATGTGTACATGAGAATTTTTTTCCCAATACAAAACCTTATTCTCTTTTATCTAAGAAAAAAAAAAATTGTTTTCTGTTAAAAGCTTGCTTTGAGATATCTCCTGAAATTATCAAAAGGATTATCCAAAATAGGTGTGCGGAATTCCAATTAATATATTAGATAGTCATACTTATCTTGTAGGTCTTTTGGCAAAAATATTTTTCGTAAATCCTCATTATTTAAAATTAATTCTGAACGAACATTATTTCTATCTGGCTTTGACTTAGTTTGTGGAGGCCACTAAAATGACAAGACACACTTGGACATGTGTTTTGCAAATGAAGTTGTGACCATTTAACAATTTAGGAGCTTATTTGATCTGGTAATCAACTACTACAATTTCAAAATTGCCTCATCTGAAAAGTGCAGTAATAAAAAGTTCAAAAGTAATTTGTCGATATGCTTATATATGCAAAAAAAAAAACTTATGATAAAAATTACTAGTTAAATACCCCGCTACAGAATTGGAAAGGACACTACCAGAACACAATTTCTTATTTGAAAACTTCCAATTATTAACTCAGAGATATAGATACAAATTAATTATATAGGCATAGAAAAAGAGTTTGATGCGAATCTTTGGATCGTATTATCGAGGAAGATAGACAAGAATTAAAAAAAAGGGTAGCAATACAAGAGACGAGTATGAAACTAGCAGCGCCCACGCCTTCATTTTATGATGGAACTGGAAATATGTAGGTCCAAATTCGTCTTTCTGCAGAAGAATTAGAGCTTGAACCTTGTGTTAGTGTTGAATTTTTCAGAAGATGATAACACTGGTTCCTGCAATGTTTAAATGTGATAATACAAAATCAGATCAGCAAAATATCCAGTAAACCTTACAAATAATTAATTCTTATTGATGAGAATATTATCGTGCTTTTAAATACTCGAGGTATATGCATATACTGTACTAAACTGCTAAATAAAAACATTCTAAATAACACTCGGGGATACAACACAAGTTTTTCCAATTTCTAGACATTTGACTGAAAAACTTAACGTAGTTGAGATGAGGTGCATAACAATGGAATAATTTTTTTACACTATGACCTGAAATGTGATCAAAGGTAACTATTCATAATAAGCGGAATTAGTAACCTGGAAAATAAGGTAAGAAGCCTTCTCGTAGCACTGATTGTGAAAATTAGTTTAAATTGTCATATAAGAACAATAGCATTAGTATAATTTCGAGAATGAATATATTTCAGGCAGAAGAATTACCTGGTCTATCTTGCGTTGCAGTATCTTCAACAGTGGACATCTAGCTTTGTTAACATTTTCGATTGCCTTGTGCATATGATCAAGTAATCCTTGGTATGTTATATCTGGAATTTCCCAGATAGCTTTAATAAATGTGTAAGTCATGGCACCCATCATAGTTTTTTCAGCAGAGAAAGCCTGCATAATTATAGTCATACAATAGTAGTTGAGGATAGGATATATAGATCAATCATATCATATAAAAAACCAATCAAAGGATTGAAAAAATTAATACAGAGGTATCTGCAGCTAGTTGATTATCCCTGCAAGCACTGAAACCGAAGACCTTACCACCCTTCGTACCCTTGTTAGCACCGGATGGGGGTCTGTTATCAACCCATCTATTCCTGTTAAAATTCAAATAACTGATATTAGTTTCTCTTATTTAAAAATGATTCTGAAGATTATCAGAATGATGAACTTTTAGATGGTAAGAACATACTCTTTGTATACCCAAGGTAAGTCAAGAACAGTTCCACTATGACAAGCATCAACGATAGCATGAAGTGTAACACCTGGAAGCAGTGGTTTAACAAGAATATCATTGATGTCATTATCACTGATCATGCCATTAGTCCTAAAGTCAAGAGGACAGATCGTTTCATCGAAACCATCTAGTTCATCATCACAAAAATCAGGTTGTCGTAAGCCATGTCCTGAGAAGTAGAACACCAACGAGTCACCTGATTTAAGGTCTTCCATCAACCACTTGAAAGCCTCCAGGATGTTTCTCCTAGTTGGAGGTTTATATGCCTCCTCTTCTGCAGGAATTGTTTCATTCAAAAAGTAAGGTACAAATATATATTTCTTACTTAGGCGGATCAAAAATTTAAATTTAATTAGTTTTTTTAACTACTGAACCACATTTACTGATATATATGTGTGAGTGTATAAAACTACAAAAATCTCAACAAGTCATGATAGATCCTAAATTCATAATTTCAAATGTAGAAAATGTTCAATACTAAGAACTTTAAAGGTCGAACATATCAAATTTAAAATCATGAATTCACCTATGATCATACTGTCAATAGAGAAACTGGAATTACCTGCTAGAATAAGAATGGAATCATTTGTAAAGTTAAATTTCCGAACCAGCAAGTCACTCATGCTGTGTACATCATGCAATGTTCCTCTAAGTCTGAATTTCTCCTTCTTGTAAGTCACCCCACAAAGAAGTGCGCGCTTCCCACTTGGTGCTGGCTTTGTGAAAATAAGAGACAAACGTGGACTAACACTGGGAGAAGGAGATCGGCTGTTCTCTCTTGAGCTGTTTCTCCTAAATTTATCTCTGAATCTTCTCATTTTAGAACTGAATCTACCATGTTCTTGGATTGGCAGTGACCTCTCACTATTGCCTAGTGGAATCATATTGCCACACGCACAACGAAATAGTATACTTTGTGGTGGCAATGGCAGTTGCTTTCGACATTTTTGACATACCATAGACATTGCAAAGGGATAAATTAAACTAGCTCTTCTTAGGCCTCAGTAAGTAAAGTCAGCAGACCATAAGTAAGCACTAGGATCACCAAATACACAAGTTATTGAAATAATGTGAAATTGATCAATGTTCTTCTAACTAATTAATAAGTAAAAGCAGGAAGATATTCATAAACATTTATCAAAATGTGAACATGAGTTGTTCCACTAAACCAAAAGTAAGACATTTTCTAATTGTTTTCTTTTTGGTTGATTCTCAATTAAGCTTGTCCCTGCATTTCTATATCATTGAAATTCAATTGACGATTTGATGTGTGAACTAGAAGAAGATGCCACTACAGAAGCAAGGGATGAAACTTTCTTTTTTCCATCTTCTTTTTGGAAAGTAAAGATTCCTATATAGAGTGGCTTAGAACAGTAGCATATTCTAAACCTTGCCTTGAAGTGAAAAATGAACAGGTTATCTTTAGACTTGATCTTTTACTGTTCTAGATTGGTCGATTAATTGGATCCAAGTACGAAGAAATTGATTGAAGTTGACATCCTATGAAGAAAATGATTTAAGTTTGACATCACATTGAGCTCATGCTCGTATGTTTACATATTAAAGGAATAAAGTGCTTTCTTCTGCTGCATATATAGATGAATTTCACTCTCTTCTAGTATTCTAAATATAATTATGTTTATGAATACTGGAAGGAATAGTTTATGGATGTAACGTGAAAAATGAAAGGGTAAACCAAATGGTCAAAAAGGCTACTTTATTCTAAGCTTATATCTAAAGCACAATTGTAAACATGCTTTTCATAACATATAATATAATCCCTTAACAAAATATAAAGCATTCTCCAGAAAGCCCCTCCTCTTTATGATCATCAAGATTCTGACAAGCTCAATGACATAAATTTGTCCAATGCAAGTGTAAAAGTGAGAGGGGAAGAGGGTCTATATTATATTTGAATGACCAGCAAATGCAAGTGGACTGAAATACTGTGCCCCTTTAGTTTTGAACATTCACAATAACAAAATACTTTTCTTCTTCTGTCCAAAAAGGATGACGAATAGAGTGTCATGGGAAAAAGGAAAGGATCATTCCACAGCCAAATTTCTTACTTTTAATGTTCCTTTTACATTTATAAATGAAGGAGAACGAACAAGATGCTCATCTTCACAAGTGGACTGAAATACTCTGTCCCTTTTGCTCCTTCTGTTCATCGACATATAACTGTTCTCAAGTCTAGTAAATGGAAAACACAGAATTTAAGGCATCATCCAAGGATAACGCAAAATAAAAGGCTACATTATAAAATGGCATTGATGATGCCTAGATTCTAAAGAGGCTCATAGAGCTAATCAGTGACATACATAAACAGATATATACATATGAGCAGAATATACACTGTTCAGTTTCATACATAGAGACCCATCTTCTGTCTTCTGTAATTTAACATACCAGAAAGAGGAATATTACAAACTACACTATTCCGTGGATGAATTTACAGCGAACTAAGTATACCAGCTAAAACTCTGTCTCCTAAGAAAAGAACGCATGCATGCTTTGTAACATCCATCTCTTTAGGCGGAAAATAGACCTGCATCTTCTGTAATTAAGATGATAAATGTTGAGTCGGTAAAATAAGCTTGCCAAAGAATAAGCTAATTCAGTGTAGAATTTTAGCAAGAAAACTCGCTGCATGCCAATTTTTCACAGTTGAGACTTGTGAAGAAGGAAAGTAGTAGCAAAAATATTTGTTTGTTACTGATTGCAGATAGAACTTAAGCAAGTTAAGGGACTACCATGTGTATCAGGACATTGAGCAGCAAGCACCACAAGATGGCCCAGTGGAAATCAAAAACCGTGAGGACTCAAGGAAACACACTCTCTAGATGTCCAGATATTTTAGCCTTGCAGTCTGGACACATAAATCCAATTGAATCTGAATGAGCTTCGGTATCATAAGCTTCAAGCTTGAATTCCACTCTGCACCACACACATACTGTTGAAAGTTGATTCAATTCTTCCATGTTTAAGATGATTCCTCCAGAATCAAATCCAACCGATGCAAAAGCCTCTTCCATCCTTGCATCATTACCCAATCCAATAGAAGTTGCGGGCAAAGATGAAGATTCATGACCACCATCAAAGCTGTATTCAAAATGTTCTATCTCATCCAGCCTAAGCTCCTCAAATCCTGTTCCATTATCCAGATTCTGACCAATAGCAGATACTTCGTCATTGTCCTACAGAGGTTTTAGGAAAAATAAATTACTAACTCGTGAAATTAGGGAATTAGTTGAACAAGAGTGAGCAGGAGTTATAGTATCTATAAAACAGAATAATCACGAACTAAGCTAATATCCACAACCTTGCTGAATGAAAACCAAACAAAACAGCAATCTGCACATTTGAAATTGCCAATAACAGCGATAATTCTCAAAGAAATAAATCCTTTCAAACAGTCAGGATAGTGGAACTAATAACACAAAAGTTTAGATTTATGTAAGCAACACGAGGATAGTAATATGTTCACTACTTAAGTAGATGCTACAATGAGTGGGACAAAAAGTTTTAACAACTTAATGATTCCTAATGATGATAAACTGGTGGATAGAAAGGCTTCTTCCTTGGTGCATTAGGTAGGTTGGGTTATCAATGAGCAGTAAAAACAGTATCCAATGTTGATCAGACAAGGAATGTATTCAGAGGCTTGGTAAACCCTGAGAGTAGAGGGGCTGTTTAACACAAAAACCTTGTTTCTGGATGTAATAGTTGTCTGCCCGGCAAATACATATTTTGGACACCCTTATCTTCAATCTATATATTTCGTTTCCATACAAATTGAAGTAAGCACATTTTAGCTTTGGCCAAATTGACCTGAAATTGTTATCATAACGAAGTCATAGCATTTTTCTTTCTCACCTATGTTGGAGATGAACAAAAGACAAAAAAAGACCCTAATACAAAAAATCCTAGGCAAGATAACCAAATTAAGTTTTGAAAAATACAAACTGATCAGGAATCAACGAAGTTGATTATTTGTCAGGATCTCAGAGAAAGAGGAAAAAATGTTTGAGCGTTGCTTGATGCATTTTTTACAGGATAAAAACAAAGAACAGGGTCGTCCTCAGCAACTATGAGATAAATGTATGACCTCCACAGATGCAGAAAAAGCAATTTTACCTTACTAGATCCTGAAAGAATGCCAGTAGAGTTGTGGAATGATTGCACCATAGGCTCTGAAAAGCCAGCTAGCCCATCTCGCGTAGCATTTTGCTGAAGAATGAACTCCATAGTCTCAGATTCCAAATCATTATTTGCTTTAGTCAGGCTGTATCCAGGACAAACTGCTTGCTGCTTATTCTCATCCTTCATGTCATCACTCTCAGGGTGCTCAAAAGCACTATGAGATGGTTGCACCATAGACAGCGAGAAAGTGGTTAACCCATTCAGAGTAGCATCTTCCTGAAAAGTCAGCTCCATAATTTCTAATTCGACATCATTTGTTTTAGTCAGGCGGTTTCCCTTACCCACTGCTACCTTATCAGTTCCATCCTTCTTCACGACACCTTCCTCAGAGTGCTCAAAATTATTATACAACGACTGCACCATAGAGACTGAAGAGCTAGTTAATGCATTCTGACTAGCGATTTCCTGAAAAGTTAGTTCCATGGTCTCAGGTTGAACTTCATCATTTTCTTTTGTCTGCTTGTTTCCCAGACCCTGCATTACCTTGTTGCTTCCAGCCTTCTTCTCATCATCACCCTCAGGTTGCTCAGAATCATTGGTTGAGATCACTCTCGGATTGAACTTGTTGGCCAAAATCTCACCGTTCTTATCTTTATCTACTTGCACGCAGGTATAATCAGGCAGATTTCTATCTTGTTCAAGACATGTTTCAGCCTTAAATTCCTTGGTATATGACAATCCAGTATCAGTGTTTGACCTCGCAACTTGGTCAATGTTGGTAGCCATATTTCCATCCAAGTCCATTGAAGTACTAGATGGCATGCTGCTGTCCTTGGTCACAGGTCTAGCACTAGAAGTTTCTACAACTGCATTTTGGGCAATTTCAATTAAAGCATCCATTTTACATGTCCTTGAAAGCAACCCATCATGATGTGGAGATTGAACACCCTTGTCTGCTGCAACAGCAGCAGCTATATCCACAGTTCCTCTTGCATTGTTTCTCACATGGACTCCTACATGACCATTGTAACTACGCCGTTCTTCAAATACCTTATGGCAGAACTGGCATTCATATTTTCCATCTCTAATTATGACCCCATCACCAACAGATGGCCCAACCCTGTACCTTCTTGTGGTCCGCTGGTGAAATGAGAACAGATGCTGCAAATATGCATTCTTTTCTTCAAACGTCAAGTTACATTTATAACATTCAAAAATGTCTTGAACTTTAACCTCAGGGAGATTATCCATCTCCATCAAGCAAACTTCACTCAGATGTAGGTCTAGAGTAGATGAACTGGGTACAACTGCATGTGCAACTACGTCATGCTTTGCCACATCACCTTTTTGAAGAGAATGAGGATTTTCTTGGATGTCTGTTGACAAAACCAAACTGGTATCACTGTGGAAGTTACTCACACTTTTAGCAACAGTGTCATCAACCTGCTGAGTTGGCTGGTTTGCTTCACTAGACAAAAAATGGGACCGCAAATATGATGAAGCCTCTTTGCATGATATAAACTGTTGACCAGTAGGGCTAACACAGAAAATGTCAAGTAAGAAGAAAATACTGGACTTAGCCACAAAACAAGAGAAGGGCAGTAAACATCTTATAGTTAGGACAGCATTTACTTGCACCAAGCTGTGCAGGAGCTTATTAAAGGTAGATTCGAGATTTCAAGTTAAAAGTAGGTTTCTATTAATCAGCTAAAATGAGTTCCATGTGAAATTGTGTGATTATCTCAATCTTTGTAATTATGATAAATCTGGTAATACTTCAATCCCTGCTAACGCTTGCATAGACAAATTTGAAAATTGGCATCTTCAAGATGAAACAAAATAATTTTACATACTTCACGATCATAGAAAATTCAACAAATGGAACTATTCAATCATTCCTACTGTCCAGCATGTAGACTGCAATATGCTTAGGATAGGGATACCATGAGCTATGGACCCGGTTCTTGAGGAAGAAACCTGGTTGCTGCCATGCTATCCCAATAGCATGCATTGTATCAGTGCATATACTTTCAGGAATCAAATAAAAAGTATGCACAAACTCATTGAAGAACTCAAACTTTTCACAACAAAACATGAAATTTCATGATACTTCAACTTACACATGCAATGATATTGAAACATATAAAAGCTGTGTAGATCATGTGTTATCAAAAGTGAAAAGTGCAAAAAAACTCTAAGGTTTGTAGGGGCTTTAAGCGCAAATAAAGCATGAGCTTTATTGAGAAAAGAAACAAATGGAGAAAACATAAAAATATATATGTGTTTAGTCCAATACTAATAATTATAAGCATGAAAACAAATATATGGACAAAGAAATTGATTGTTTTCATGATAAATTGAAATATCAATGGTTTAGCGTCACCTCTTCAGAAAATGTTCATTCACAAGGAAAAGTATGTCTTAGAACTTTGATGACGACAGTGAAGCACATATTAAGCGAGGGGGAGGCAAAGTGCTCAACGCGGTCTGAGCCTCGCTTCAGGGCTTAAACGCGCATTTGATAACACTGCGTAGATCTAGTTAGTTTTTAACAAACATGCAACAGAATAACCATTAGCATTTATTTCCATCACAAGATTAGCAGTCCATACTCGCAAGTTCAAAGCAAACAACAATAACCCACATAACCCATAATGCATAAAAGCTTATAAACAAACATGTAATTAACAAGCAAAAGTAAGTTAGTAGAAAAAGTTAACAACCTCACAATTCTACGACAATAAACCCAGACGCGACCGTCCCGTCTACGTAGGGCTAGCAAGAGCTTCCAACCAATAGGCAATGTATCACCAAACCCACTAGCATCAACATATTTCCTCTTCTTCCTTCTGCTACACCACTGCCCCTCCAAATCCCTAACAAAACCGAGTACCTCTTCTTCAGTCTGTAACCTAACAGTCCTTTTCTCCAATTCTCCACTGTATAATTTATCCCCATTATTCTCCAAATTGTTTAAATCCACCACCTCACCGTTTTTATTCACAATTTCCACCCCATTCTCTTTCAGCTTCTTGTTATCCTTAGGTTTCCGTCCTCTCTTCCTCTTTTTGTCAGGTTCATTCATCAAAAGTAGGGTCTTTTCTTGAATCCCGGAAGTAGCCGGCTGTGTAATAGGAGGAGGAGGAACGGGCGGTGGAGATTGGGAATTGGGATTACGAATAAAGAACTTAAGAAAATGAAGAATTGCGTGGTTTTCAGGGTCGGAAGTAAAAGGGGGTTTGGGTTGTGAAGTTGAAGGGTGAAGACCGGGCACGCGAGAACGGTGGTGTTGGTGACGGAGACGGGAATAGGTTTGACGACGGCTTCCGGCGGATTCATTGAAGAGGGACCGGTCAATTTGGGGAATAACGACTTCGTTAGTATGCCGGAGATCGTAAGCGGAGTCGGAGCAAAGGGAAAGTGCGTGGAGTTCAGATTGGGAAAGTTTACTGATGTCTATGTGAGCCACCGCTTCCAACTTTGGGCCACAATTCGGTGCAACTGTCGCCATTTCCGGTGAAAATTCCGACAGAGGACAATAAGGTGGTGCTTTTTACGAACGACTTACAGGTGACTCCATTGTCCGGAGTAACATAACTAAACGAAATGATCACACTTTAAGTTTACACTATATTGCTTTGCTTGTCACATTTTTTCTACTTTAATTATATATTAATTTTATAAATTAATAAATATCTTGAAATGAACATTTTAAAAAAGATTGATAATTAATACGAGACGAAGAGAGTAATAACTAATAATGATGATTAGTCAAATTCAAGTCGTCAGTGTTTGTAAGTTGTAACTTTGTAATATAAAGGGTATGATTCTCTGAATTTGGAAACTAATCTCTATATTAAATTTGAGATTGTGTTTGTTTGTCATTTAATTGTATATATTAAATAGAAATTTTGATGCAATTTTTATATGAAAATTTTGGCATTCTATCTCATGTTGGATAAGAAATAATAATGCTAAGCTTGTAAAGAGATGATCTTATTTTGAACCAAGTAGTGAGAATTCCTAAAGAGAGATGAAAAATATCATTAGTACATTGTTCTTAAAAATGGAATGAAGGCAAATACGTTGTTTAAAAATTAAATTTACATTTTTAAGATCTAAAAAATATCCTTAATCATTTTTTATATATGTATATGACGTGTTTAAAATATATTAAAAAAATTATTTATCAACTGAAAGATTAATTAGCTTTTTATAGCGTAATAGCATCATATGAAGATAATAAGATGTAAATTACTACTGAATTCCTAGTAAATGCATTTACTATGGCAATAGTTTTTTTGTTTTTTTTTTGAGATTGTTTAAGATAGGAAATCAAACGTAATCAAATCTTACCTTTGTAGGTACAACAAGAATGCTATCTCAAACCTTATAAATGAATATGAATTAATTTATTTTGATTAATTAATTTGATCAATAAATATGAATTAATTATTTAGTTTTTCTATATTGATCAAATACATATTTTCAAGACTAATAATTCTTAAGGATAAAATAGAAAAAATGATATTTTTTATGTATTGATTTTATGAAATAACTAATATCAAAAAATATTTATTTTAATTATAACGACATATAAATCGGAACAGAGGAAGTTGGGTCATTCTTGCTAGAGAATGAGCCTTGAACTAGGCAGCAGGAGAGCAAATGGCCTAACGAGACATTTATGGAATAAATAACGAAGTAAAATGCAAATCTGTTCAAGTGTTGGGTACGCTATTTTTCACATTTAATCATACAGCCTATTAATATCATTAAACTAATTTTTATGATAGAAAAATAACTCACCTTTTTACACGAATTGGCTATATTGTCAATTATTTTTTCATATTATCAAAATATAATTATTTCCAATAAATTCAGATGTCTTTTGCAAAATACTGTATGTTATTTATCTATCTATCGATACTATATTAACATTAATAATATGAAGGTCCTTAAAAATGTTGTTTGAATTTTTTTACCTTCATTAAAAGATTTCGCTTTAGACAAAATCGTCTTTTCATATTTTTCTCCAATTATTATTTAATTTTAATAGGTCAAAAAAATTGATATAATTATAGTATAACTTACATAAATCTCATAATTTTAATATGAAATTACAATCTATCCCTCATTGGTTTGTAATTACATTAATCCCTTAAAAAGTAACACAAATCGGATACATAATATGTAGCTCGAATACATTAAAGAGTATCTCGAATACATTATAACATAAATTGGATACATAATATGTAGCTCGAATACATTAAATACTGGCTCTGATACATTAATATGTAGCTCGAATTCATTAAAGAAATAAGGGATTTTAGAGGATTTTAAAAATAGAAGGGAATATTGGAAACAAGGAAAACATAAGACATGTATTTTAATAATTTTTCCATATATACATACATATATATCGCCTTTGAAAATTAAGTTCTTATAGTTTCGAACATCTTTTAATTAGGTTTAGTCGTCTCTTCATTTTTCCTTTTTTTTTTTGGTTGGTAAAATTGTTATAATTTATAACTCTCAAGATAAGTACGATTCACGTTTAATTTTTCTTAAGAAAAAAATAATTAAAAAAATTAGGAACTTCTCAATGAAATTAACTTTAGAGCCGGTTTGAATTGATTTAAAGTTGGTCAGATCTATTTTTAAATTATTTTTAGCTTTTAGAAGTGGTGGGAAAGTTAAAATAAATTAAAATTACTTTAAAAAAGTTAAAAGCCAAAAGTAGGAGTGTTCATACTATTTTTTTTACTTAAAAATCATTTTAAGTTTGATTTTTTATGTTTTGATTTGAAAACTACTTTTTAGTCCGTTCAAACGGACTCTTATTCTATATAATATAATATCTCACATGTTCATTCAACTTTGCATACTTTTACTCAACTTTATTTTACAACTCAAATGTCACTCAATTATTGATATTTCACTTAGAAAGTCAGTCAATTAATGATATTTTACAAGTTCACATTATGAAAGTTATGGACGCTTTGTACTTCTTTTATGTTTATGGAGTTTTTAAATATATATATACATAGGTTAAAATTATTTTTAAAAAGGGATTTAATAGGAGAATAAGTAGGAAAATTATTATTACTAAATTTCTCATATTTTCACCCTTTTACTATTTCTAATACCTAAAAATTCCTAATATTTAGTACTCTCTAATTAGTTAAAACAATACTCCATCCCTTATCAAATAAGAGTAGAACTTTATTTACAACACTATTTGTTATTTTAATATTGAAGTAATTGTTTATCTCAATTTATGTGAGAATTTCAATTGTACAAGAATTATAATAATTAGATTATGAAATTATTTTTTTACGAGTAATTTATTGATGAAATTCGTAACTAAATTTAATTTTTCTCTATAATGTTTGTCATTAGATGAGATATGTGCTTTGATTACGTGCAAAGCGCGTACATCGAGTCTAGTTCTTTAAATAAGTGTGAGCTAAAGTTTATGAATAAAATAGCCTTCAAAAATCTCAACAAAGATTGTACTCGTATTATAAAAACTTACAAAAAAAATTTAAATAATAAAATTTATTTTATACTCGATAAATATCAATATATACGATATTTAACAAAAAAAAAAAATTATACCACCTATTCTATAGGACATGTGTTGAGTTGAAATGAACACACACATTATTAAGGGCCTGTTTGGAAGGACACCCTGGTAATTGAATTTGGTGTAATTGGTGTAATTACACCGTCTTGTCCTGTTTGGAAGGACAAGTAATTACTTGGTCAGCACGTAATTGGTGTAATTGACATGGGATAATTACATTTTACAATTCACAGGCAGAGACTGTGAATTGCTGGTAATTACATGGTGTAATTACCACCTGATTACTTTTTTATTTTTTTTATTTCTATTTAAATTTTTTTGTTTTAATTTTTTTAAATTCTATTATTTTAAGTTCTTTTTTTAATTTTATTATTCTAAAAATTTGTAAAAGTTTTTATTTTATTTTATATTGTTATATTTCATTTTCTTCTTATTCTCAACCTTACTTTACGTGATCCTATGTAATTTTTTCGTATTATCTATTTCTTTATGCCATGCTTATTTTCTCATTAGCATAATTTTATTATATTCTAATTTTTAAATTAAAATAGAATTTATTGTTAAGTAAGTTGTAGACTTACGTTTTCTTTATTAAGAAAAACTAAAACTAAATCATATTTATTGCTATGTTGAAATTTGTTATAAGAGTATTATGTTAAATTTTTATTTTGAATTTATAACTTATGTTATATTTTCAGTTTAATTTGTTTTAGTAATATTGAATCTACATTGCACGTTATTTTTTAATTAGAGTTGATAAATTATATTTTTGTCAAACATTTAATAATTTATGACATTTTATTTATATATTATTCTTTTTATCAAACATACATTTCACGATGTTCGTAGAAACTTCATATTTTTAGTTGTTACGATCAATTCAATTGAAATATATTAATTTGAAAAAATATAAATCAATTATTTTTTCATAATATTAGTTACATAAAATATGTTTATTAATTAATATATTTTTAAAAAAGAATATATATCTTAAATATTTAATTTAATGTCATTTATAAAGTTTCTTATTTGTCTAGTATAAATTTTAAATAATTAATTTTTATTTTTAAAATTTATTATAATTTTATGATTGCAATTGTGCATCCAAATCCAAACAGAACATGTGTAATTACACTGTGGCATCCAAACAAGACATGTGTAATTACAGTACAATTACACTGTGACAACCAAACAGGTCAGTGTAATTACTAGACAGTGTAATTACTAGGCTGATAATTACTACCCTAATAATTACACAAATTCCAATTATCAGGTGGCTTTCCAAACAGACCCTAAGTGTAGTCTAATATAGTTACGTGATAAATAAATAAAAAGAAACAGCGAGAATGGGCCAGATATTTGTTAGGGCGCCGACACAGAAGTATAAGATGTGCCGTTTTACAGCGAACCAATATAGAAGCCTAATGTTAGTGGTACAAGTATAACTACAGATAGCCCTCTTCTCGAAAGCTCTCTCTTTTCTTCTCTTTCGGAGCCTCATCTTCCCAACCAGACTTGCTCCCTCACTCCTCTCAACCACCACACAACTACCGCCGCCTTTGCCGTTGCCGTAGCGGCGCGTAAACATCGCAAAATTCCGGCCAATCTCAGTAACAGGTCTGCTACAGAGTTCAGTCTTTTTGTAGGTTATTAATAAACTGTATCTGTGTTCGGTAAAGACGTAAATTGAGGAAACATATTACTGGTCTACCTGTATTGACTTTTTTTTTTTATATATGGGCGACAATTTCTATTTCTTTTATACTATGCTCTGCTCTAAAAATCTGAACATTTTCATATTTGCTTTCTAGATTATGTGTCTAATTTTGTGTTTTTCATTTGATTATTTGTTAATATAAGTTCTTTAGGGTTTTTGTGTTTCTTGTTAATAATTACCTCAATGTGGAAAGTGGAAGCTTGTAATGAGCTTCTTGAATCTTTTATCTCCAAACCACTGGGAATGATAAATGGCATCTAATTTCCATCTTACCACAAATATCATCTAATTTTATCTTACCACAAATAACCAGGAGTTGGTGCAGAGTAATGCTTATTTTTGGGGTGGGGAGGGTTGTTCTTCTCTATAGAAATATTCTTTGCTTAATTGATTATTACTCCATCTGTATTTACCTATAAAGAATAATGAAACAGTGCAAGATTGGCTGTCCAAGTTTCTTTGTATGTAGCGAAAGATTCTTTATTACTTTCAAATTTCAATTATTGTAAATTATGGTGGATCTTTTCCTTTTGTTTATCTTCTTCTGGATAAGCAGAAAGACGTTTTTAAAATCTGTCCTTTGCCTTCTGAATGTAGTCCTTTTTATTCTACAACTACCTCACTCGTAGTGTTTTAAGTGGAAATAATTCAACTTCCAAAGTGTTCCTCAATTAAACTCATTCTAATGTGATGCTTTTTTTGTACTTGCAGTAATGGCAATCATACCTTGTGGAAGCACATGGGTTACTCGGTGGGGAGTTCAGCCTCAGTCTGTGCCAAAATTTCCTGTTACAAATAAATTATCAGCATCTCCATTTTGGTGAGTCATGCTGAGGCATTTTTGAACATGAAACCACTTATTTATAGTATAAGAAATATGATTTCTTTGGAAATTTTATGGATTTTATCTGGAAATGTTTCTGTATTACCTGTGACAACTGATTTTAGACCACCTATTTTATATGGTATGTTTGAGTTGAAATCAACACACACATTATTAAGTAATATATTTACGTGGTAAATAAAAAGAAACACCGAGAATGGGCCATATATTTGTTAGGGCGCAGACACAGAAGTTTAAGATGTGCCGTTTACAGTGAACCAATATAGAAGCACCCCAAACCCTTTTGCCGAATATATTCTATTCATTTTCAAATTCTCGTATGTTGTGAATTCATTCTTGTGGACTGACCTTCTATTTACGTATGCTTGGTTAACCTCACAGCCTCATCTCTAATGTATTCTTTTGGATTTAAACTCTATATTTTTAAGTCATTTATGCGAACTTTGTTTGCTAAAAGTTAACGTAATTGGTGATACTATTTAATTATTTTTCGGCCCTCTTCTGAATAAGGATGTCTAACGTCTTGAACTGGTACATGTTTTTGTTATGACTCAGAATTTTAGGTAGGCTGTAGATTTGAACCTACAGCACTTCGTGACAGTTATAAGAGTAATTTCTTGCATTAACCATTTAGTTGTAACCTTGATAGAAAACTGTCCTACAGTTCAACTTTAAGAAGCCAGAACAAATGATTGTGCCATTAATGTTACTCTTTTGGAGATTAGCAGTTTCCATTGACAAATGTATTTACCCATACATGGAATTAGATTTCCAACTATAACTTTTGAATACTTCTGGAGTTCTAGTGTAGTGGTGATTATGTAGTGAACAAAGGTTGGGGTTCCATGATGCATCTCAGTAAAAGTTGATGCAGCAGTATCATATGACTTCTGTATGAAAGATGAAAGTTACATATTGTTCTGAATGGTATAAGGTGAAAGATACACGTCGACTTTAAAGAGTTTCTGATTTTTTCTGAAAAAGAATCTATAGATATATGTAAGTGTAACTTGATGGTCTTACGTCATACCCATAAATCATGTCTGTTTGTGTTAACCACAACACAATTATAATCCCCCCTACTATCTGATGAAAGACAAACGAGACGTTGGTCCAGTCCAGCCCCATGGCTAGTCCATAAAGAAATGATGTAAGTGGAGAAGGGTAGAGAGTTGAATCCATTATTCACCGAGGTTCAAACTTTGCACCAGTTAGCTCTCGGGGATTGCTCTGTTATCTAAAAGAATAATCAAACCATTTACATCTAAGAAGTATATGAAATTGGCATGTTTTCTGACCCAAGAGACGATTGCCATATCTACCTGCTTAGCCAGCAGATGGCATCTGTCCACACTTATTGACCTTGTTATTGTCTATGCAGTTTCTCAAGCAAGATAAGGGCATTGGCATCCCCAAATTCAACCCTTTTTTGTCAAGAATCCCTGCAAGCACTTTTCAGTTCAGTATCAAACAAGAACCACTATCAACGAAGGGGGACCAGTATAGTTGTTAGAGCTGAAAAAGTAAGATGCTAGGCTGATATTGAGTTGCATTTATGTTTGTGTGTGAGTTTGTAAATATATAGCATAGTAAAGCTGGTTTAATGCTGTTACATCTTCACAGGATTATTATGATGTCCTTGGTGTATCTAGAAATGCTAGCAAATCAGAAATCAAAAGTTGTGAGTACATTCTTCGCTCTTTTCTTTTCTATTTTCTTCTTTTAAGTTTCCTCAACGAAGTTCATTCTAGCTTCTAGGTGGTTCTGTATAATGAACCTTTCTGGCCAATCTCTGTATTTGTTAAGAGATAAGGTTCTGAATAGTGTATTGCTTTCTTCATTTGATGCTGATGGTGAATATTTCTTTAATTGTTTTTGTGCATTGATTTTGTTTTGGTAGTAGTAGTGAGAATCAGAATATCTGGTATACCAGTTAACTTTCTCAAAAAAAAAATCAGAATATCTGGTATATAATGTGTAAACAAGAATTATCCTTCTTGTTGGAAAGTAGTTTTATTTTCTTTGTATGCAATTTCAAACCTGGCCTCCTGAAATTTGGTCCCTCTAGAAACTTTTGAAGTTAGAGAATTTCAAATTTAGCATTGTCACCTAGTCGTTTACATATTCTGTTTTCTAGAATTCGCTAATCATTTATGTCCTTGAATTTTGACTGTAAATTAGAACTACTGATATATTACTCAAGAATTGTGTAGTTGAAAAAGATACATTCATCATTGCATTCATGTTATTTTTCTGATCAACTGTTTTTTCTTGTTTAGCTTATCGAAAGCTTGCAAGGAGTTACCATCCAGATGTGAACAAGTGAGTATAGTCTCTGGAATTTTGAGATGTGATGCCTTTTACTATGATTTTCTTGTTGAAAGATGGTATAAAGTAGAATATATTGGATTTCTCTAGCTTTAAATTTACTACTTTATTTTGTTGAAGAGCCGTGTTTACCTACTCAAGCTCAGAATGATTGAGTCTTTTCACTGATTTTGCTCATAGTTCCTGGAAATTTGAGATTAAGATGCTTTCTACTATGGTCTTATTGTTGACCCTTCAGGGTGGTCCAGTGGTTTGGGCTTGGGATTTCCATGTTGGAGGTCCCAAGTTCGAAACCCCTTGCCAGCAAAAGCAAGGGGTCTGCCTTCTGGGTCGAGCTGTAGCACCGGGTATGCCTAGTGCGGGTCACCTCTCTTGTGTGGTTTGCGAGCTATGGCATTAGGAGTGGAGGTTTTACCTTGTGCGCACCCAAAGATGATTTAGAGTAGCACATACTTGGCTTTTTCTCTAGCTTTAATTTTTTTGTATCTTGTTGTACCTGCTCAAGAACACATGATTGACCTCTTTACGAACTTTGATTTTCCTTATTTCGTGCGTAGAATAATAGTAGAAACTAGAAACTAGAAAATGAAGGTTCAGACTTAAGGAATAGTTATGGCAGAAGATGAATGAAGAATTTTGGAGTGGATATGTGAAATTGTGAATTTACCATTTAATAGCATATCTTGTCTAAATTTTTTTAATCCAGGTTATAAATATATATTTTTTAGTATGTTGTTGTTGTTGAGTGCGTAAATATTTAAAATGCTGCAAGGAATTGCCATGGTATTTGTCTCATCTTTCATTGAAAAACGGCATTATTTGAGGCTTTCTGTTTATGTTTCTTTATATGTAAATATGTTTTATTAACATGCTTTTTTACGATAATTTTTTTGGCCTTTCTGTTTTATGTTTGAACTACATGGAAATCAGCAGAATATATCCATATGATTCCATCCACAAATTATACGAGTTATTTCTTCTATTAGTAAAAAAAAAGGCGGGGGGCTTAGAGCAGTGAGTATTTGGTCACTGTAAATGACCCAAGAAATAAAAAAATTAACTTTTCCCAATATAGAGCATAATACTGGAAAGGTCACGCTAACATATCATGTTGGGATAGCTAGTAAGTGTTTATTAGTTGAACTTACAAGCTTTGGTTTCCTATTGACATATTTAAGTACATTCATATGAAGGTGCACTGTCATTGTCGATCTATATTTTTTTTCTTTACAGAATGTAAGATCCTTATATGTGCATTCATATTTTCCTTATTGTAGAGAACCTGGAGCTGAACAGAAATTTAAGGAGATCAGCAATGCGTATGAGGTATAGTTCTTTTTCTTGGTGCTCTTTGTTCCACTAAAAGGTAACCGACAATTAACGACCATAATGGAGAATATCTCAAGCACTTCTTATGACATTTAATGTTTTGCAATAGGTTTTGTCCGATGATGAGAAACGTTCCATATATGATAAATATGGGGAGGCTGGTCTTAAAGGAGCTGGCGCGGGCATGGGGGTGAGAATTTCTTAATAACAATAGTAGCAGATGGTTATCTTACCTAAATAATTTTTTCGACTTATTGTTCTTTATTCGTAGGATTTTAGCAACGCCTTTGATTTATTCGAGTCTTTGTTCGACGGCTTTGGTGGTATGGGTGGCATGGGTGGTATGGGAGGTAGAGGTTCTCGGAGCAGGGCCACAGAAGGTGAAGACCAGGGCTATAATCTGGTTTTGAATTTCAAAGAAGCTGTATTTGGGGTTGAGAAGGAGATTGAAATTAGCAGGCTTGAAACTTGTGGTACCTGTGATGGATCAGGTGCAAAACCTGGGACTAAACCGTCGACCTGTAATACTTGTGGTGGGCAAGGGCAGGTTGTGTCCTCAGCAAGGACCCCACTGGGTGTTTTCCAGCAGGTGACAACATGCTCTTCTTGTGGGGGGACTGGAGAGATTTCTACTCCTTGCGGCACCTGCAACGGTGATGGCCGAGTGAGGAAGTCAAAACGCATTAGCTTGAAAGTTCCACCTGGTGTAGATTCAGGTAGCCGTTTAAGGGTTCGTTCAGAAGGTAATGCAGGAAGGAGAGGTGGACCCCCCGGAGATCTTTTTGTCATGATTGAAGTCCTCCCGGATCCAGTATTAAAACGGGATGACACCAATATTCTCTACAATTGCAAAGTTTCTTACATTGATGCGATATTGGGTACAACTATGAAGGTTCCTACAGTAGATGGGATGGTTGATCTAAAGATTCCGGCAGGTACCCAGCCAGGGACAACATTGGTGATGGCCAAAAAAGGGGTGCCATTCCTGAGCAAACCAAATATGAGAGGTGATCAATTGGTGAGAGTGCAAGTTGAGATTCCAAAGCGGTTGAGCAGTGAAGAAAGAAAGCTCATAGAAGAACTTGCAAATCTAAACAAGCCTAAAGCTGCTACCAACAGTAAGAGATAGCTTGTAGCTGAAGCAACCAGGTTGTTTTTTCTTTCTAATACTTCCAATGATCAATATTCTGGTATGCTCTACCTACTGGCACACCGATATTAATGTTGATTCCTCGAACTCTACATAGTATAGTCGTAGACATAGACAATTTTGAGGTTTGATTTTGTGTTATGTACTGTACCTACACCCAGTGAAATGCTGGAAAAGATCAAGAGGGCTGAGCTAAGATTGTTGATGTCTCAATATTTTATCATTTTCTTCTCCATCAAAACTGCTCTGAGGTTACTTGTAAGCTGTGTTGTCCAATAACCACTTCCATATTTTTAGTTTCGAGCTTTTCCCCAATCCCAGATGAATTTGATTTCTGGTTGTTACTCGATAATGCTCTGCTTGTTTTTGTTTTAATTTTTTCGATAATCTTAAGTAATACTAATTGAAAACATAAAGGAAGTGAACTCTCCCTGCCCTTTTCTTCATTTTGTTTATATGAGAAGGAAACAAGTAGTAACTTTTGTCCTCCCTGCCCAAAATGAAAGGCCGGGAAGGAGAAGTTCTTGTGCATATTAACATGGATCAGCTTGACTTTTACCTCAAAAGTTAATTCGTGAGATGAAGAGTTGCAGATCGTCTTCCCCGACGTGATGAAGGCATCACACTGATTTTTCAGTCCAGGATAGAGCACTAAGGCAGAAGCACCTACATATCCTCTCTTTTTTTCAATTCACCACTTATATACAGAGAGAGATACAAGTATTATGAAATAGTAACGGCTGACACAATATATGACCCTGATTTCAGATATCAACGATGTGATAGCTGTGAGGAGAGAAAAAAAAGAGAGGGTATAAGCGGAGACATAAAACATTTCCATCTACTATTCTAGTCTTGGTAGACAGAGTTATCTGGTATATGTTGTTCTTGGTTATTAGAAAAAAGAAAAGAGTATACTAGTGAAAGATGGATAAAATAAAGTATATTAGTGAAAGATGGATAAAATAAAGTATATTAGTGAAAGATGGATAAAAAGAAAAAGTGGAGAGCATATAAAATTAAATGGGGTGAGAGAGGCTCGAACTCTCGACCTCAGGATTACTCAGAAGCTATGAGACCTACGCGCTAGCCAACTGCGCCACCACCCCTGTTGTTGTTTCAATACAAAATATTGTTTATACTGTAATATCTTTTTCTCACTTCCAATGTGGAGTACAAAATTTCTGCTCATGTGAGTGCAAAAGACAATAGCCAGATGGATTATCTGGTTTACCAAGCAATTTAATTAATAAGAACATTCATATTAGTAGAAAGAAAAAAAATATATTTTTAAATCATTTACCAGAAATATGATAATTATGGATGGTAGGTGCATAATGTGTGGTGAAAACAGTGAGAGAAAATATTTCTTGTTGATAACGTTCAATACAAAAAGATAAATTGATTCTCTTACGTCTGATTTTGTCTATTTTCTTGGTATCTTTCACTTAATTATGACAACCCACGTCTGTTGGTACGCCCATAAATAAATTGTTTAATAGGAAAATATTTTTTATTAGAAACTTTTTTTTTGACGTTTTGTTATCGAAAGATGGAATATTCTCCTTCAAAACCAGAAAAAATAAAAGTAATTATTTTTCCAACAATTGTCTTCTCTTCTAATTTTATATACTATAGCTAACAGTTTAACATTCTTATTAATCTGTACTACTCAAAAATCACAGTTAAACAGTCTCCCATTTGTTAATATATATATAATAATTGATCTTTAATATATATATTTTTTTCAAAAAATGTATTCACCATTCAATCACCACTCACGCCCACATGTATAGAAAATGTTCGGTAGAATGTGTTAACAAAAATAATATTTACATTGTGTATTAGTAGTACCTTGTTTGGTAGATTTTTCTATGCTATGTATAACTAATGCAAACATTAGTTACACGCTGTATTGTGTATTGATGAGTGTATTACTAATACCATGAATTTCTAGGTATTAGTAATGCAAAGGATTTAATACATGTATTAACATGGTTAAAGACTCAATTAACCCTCAAGCACGTTTACATCTTTTCCATCATAATTGTGGACGGTACTTTTATAAATAAATATTTCTATACAATACATACAAATTAAGTGCGAGAATCATGTAAATTTGAGTTATGCCTGATAAAGCTCTTCATTTTCTTCTTATTATCTGACGTATTTACGATATTATGTACACCTCATTTATAAGAAGTTGTCAACCTAAAAACTTGTCAATCTTGTTTGATCGGTCCTCATCAGCCCACCATGAATCAAGATGCCTCACGTAACTAAACACACAGATATTTTAATTACATAAAAATAATTTTTATGAAAAAAATGACTTCTATCAAACCAAATGCAAACCAGTACAAAGAGAATCACATGACTTATATAAATTCTAGATGACTATTCATGAGCTACAAACTCAAATATAGAAAACAAAGAAAAATATGGAGTGTCATAATGAAGGAAAAAAATCCCAAAAAGCTCATGCTGTGTGCATACCATTTCCATCACAAGGCCACATAAATCCTATGCTAAAACTTTCCATTCTTCTTCACTCTAAAGGCTTTCACATAACATTTGTCAACTCTGAATATAATCACAAAAGATTACTCAAATCCAAAACCCCTTTTTTTCTTGATAATAATTTCCAAGATTTCATCTTTGAAACAATTCCAGATGGACTTCCTCTTATTGATGCTGATGTTACACAACATATTCCTTCTCTTTGTTTATCCACAAAAGAAAATTGTTTAGCACCATTTAGAGAGCTTTTAATCAAGATTAATAATAATTCATCTAATGTTCCTCCAGTTACTTGCATAATATTTGATGGAATTATGACATTTGCTTTGTTAGCTGCTCAAGAAATTGGTGTGCCAAGTGTTAGCTTCAGAACTACAAATGCTTGCAGTTTCATGTGCAATAAACATTTGCCTCTACTTATTGAAAAGGGAATTTTGCCTCTCAAAGGTTAGAATTCTTTAAAATACAATCTTCTTTAGTTTATTCTACCTTATATATAATCAGGTCAATTTCACCGATGGTTATTCAACTTTTTAGTTTATTCCGCTAAAAAAGCATAAAACTAATTTTTGTAACAGTAAAATATTTTTTTCTATATAATTGGTGCATATGTGAAGTTGAATTAAGTTTTGTTTTTTTTATAACCTTTATACAATTTAAAAAGTTGAATGTCCACGGGGTGAAATTAATCCATTTGTAACCATGTTTGTTAGTCGAAACAGTTCGTGGACCAACTATATATGTTAGAAAAATAAATAATTTGTCCAAGTTGATCTTCTCTTGTAATATAATAAATATAATATGCATACATTAATATGCCTTGTTTTATTTTCTATGCAGATGAAAGTGACATTACAAATGGTTATTTGGACACGGTTATAGATTTTATACCAAGTATGAAAAATCTTCGTCTTAGAGAATTTCCCAGCCAAATCAGAACCACAAATATAAATGACAAAATGTTGAATTTTATTATGGGAGAAACTGAAAGAGCTTCAAAAGCCTCAGCTATTATTTTCCACACTTTTGATTCACTTGAATTTAATGTGTTGAGTGATTTATCCTTAATTTGTCCTCCACTTTACACAATTGGACCTCTTCAATTACTCACTAATCAACTACAAGAAAAAAGCCTAAAATTCCTTAGAGCCAATTTATGGAAAGAAGATGAGAATTGTGTGAAGTGGCTAAATTCTAAAGAGGAAAAATCAGTGGTTTATGTGAATTTTGGTAGCATAACAGTATTGACAAAAAACCAACTCATGGAATTTGCATGGGGACTTGCTAATAGTAAGAAGAATTTTTTCTGGGTAATTAGGTCTGATGCAGTTATTGGTGATGATTCTATAATTTTACCAAGTGAATTCATAGAAGAAACGAAAGAAAGAGGGTTGATTTCAAGATGGTGTTGCCAAGAACAAGTTTTGCAACATTCATCAATCGGTGCATTTTTTACTCACTGTGGATGGAATTCAGTGATGGAGAGTATAGGAAGTGGCGTACCGATGATTTGCTGGCCCTTTTTTGCTGATCAGCACATAAACTGCAGGTAATGCATGTTTTCTTTTAATCATTAATTATATATGCATCATCTTACATGTTCATGACACGTATTATCCTTTTTGGCCCAACAAACTTTATATGTTTGTTTCTTGGGCATCAATTACTATTTGCATAGGCGTATGCAGAATGGGGTCATCAGGTTCAAGTGAACTCATGCTTCCCTCCTGAAATCATATATATTAATGTTATGTTTTTTAAAAAACACTTAAATATAGATGTGTGAACCCACTCTAGACGTATCACATAATGCAATAATGATTGGGTGCACCTCTATGAGTTAGGTTATAAATTTGAATCTTACATCTATCTTGCTTTTTGCTTTCTAAAATTAGGCAACACCTCTCTAAGTGGTTACTGATAGCAATACATTTATATATATAACTTTAATCTTTCAAAATTTTCAAGTTTGTCACATTGGAAATTCCTTTTTATTTTAGCACTGTAATTCTTTATATATATAATTAAACCAAATATGCATATTATAGCTAGTAATACTGAATGATATAACATACGATCAATGGGTTCAGTCGATCTCAACAGACTATGTAGGGTGGATTTAAAATAAAAGATTTCTTGATTTTCATGTGCAGGTATGCATGTGATGAATGGGGTGTTGGTATGGAAATTGACAAGAATGTGAAGAGAGATGAAGTGGAGAAAATTATAAGGGAAATGATGGATGGAGATAAAGGAAAGGATGTGAAGAAAAAGGCAAGTAAATGGAAAATATTAGCAGAAGAAGCTACTGGAATTGAGGGTTCATCAAGCTTGAACTTAGATAAATTAGTGAAAGATGTACTTCTATCCAATTATTCAGTTAATTAGTAGAATGATTAAAACAGAAAATGACAAGGACCCCCTCTGTCATCTTTCAATATTTAACTTTGACACGATATTTTTTACTCTCATAATACTTTAAATAATCAAATTAGATAATAGAACTCAGTCTGGATTGATTTAAAAAAGGTAACTATTTTTTAAGTTAAAAATAAAAAGTCAAATTTAAATAACTTTTAAGTCAAAAAATAAAAAAATAGGGGGAGCGGGAGACCTACTTTTGATTTTAAAACTTTTTTAAATTTATTATAAACTTATTTTAAGTTATTTTTAATTTTGTCAAATACTTTCAAATGCTAAAAATAACTTACAAGTAAATTTGACCAACTTTTAAATCAATCCAAATAGGCTCATAATCTTCCTGAAAAAGGTCTAAGCACTGTTGAACTTAACTAATTTAGGTTTTATATATGATTATTAGGGCATCTCCAATCCAAACACCAAATTTGATGTCAACACTATTTTTGGTGTAATCAACTCCAACCCACTACACCAAATTTTACACCAAAAAAGAATATTTTTCTCTCTCTTCATTATTATATTATTATTTCTTATTTCATAAAACAAATTCTTTCTAAAACATTCACCATATATAATTCATATTATTTCCTTTTATAATCGTTTAATATAAAATTATTTTGTACCATAATTTTTTAAATAATATAAATTGCTAGCAAATATTATACATTATACATAATAATGGATAATACAAATAAAAGTGAAATCATTAATGAAATACAATTAAATAAACATTACATAATTGAAAAATTATTTTAAATTCTACATAAATATTCAACTTTCAAGATCACTACGGTGCTCCTATAAATGCTCTATTAATGCATTACCTAGTTCAAAATGAGCTTCTTTGTCCTTTATTATTTTATATCGAGCTAGAAATTGTTGAAATTGATAATTTATAGTAGAATTAACATAAATTTAATTTTTTTTAAAAAGTCATATATAGAAAAATTAATTTATAAAAAAGATAAATTTTATTTCTAAAATTAAAATTATAAAATATTACATAAGAAATAATTAAATATACAAGAAGTTTAATTAAAACATACAATTTATATAATGCTTAATTAAAAGTTTGTATAATGAAATAATATTAAAATATTTAAAAAGTGAATTGGTGTGATGAATAGTGTTACATCAAATTTGGTGTAACACTATTCACACACCAAATTTGGTGTAAAAATTGGTGTGGGTTGGGGCTCAAAACACTAAATTTTACACCAAATTTAAAATTTAATGTAAAATTTGGTGTTGGATTGGATATGGTCTTTTAACTTCTTGGTGTTACCTATACTATTCCAACTTTTTATATAATTTTGAACGTACAGGGTTAAATATGTGATGGAACAGGACTTGTCAATTAAGAGAGCCAACTAGAAACTACATTGGCATCACCAATTCTCATTTAAATAGTTTGTCAGTCAAATAATTGGTGTAACATCACAATCGTATCAGACAAGTGTATCAACTCAATATAAATAAGAGAAATATTACTTGCTAAAAATATATCTCTTCGTTTCATATTGACTTTTCTCAAAACGAAATTTATATCTTCATGTTGCTTAGAAATGAAAGATATTTATTAAAGACTGATAATGATAGTGGTACATGAAACCATTTTATAAAGATATGACACTTGAACCTTACTCAATCCCAAAAGCTAGCTCATGAGACTTTTATCCACTCTAACACATTTTCCTTACACAAGAAGGCGGAACACTAACGACTATCATCAGAGCTAATAATGCACCTGTCCATTAATACGCATACGGACTGTGACAGCGCTCATTATTTTGAATACAAATTAGACTTGGATCATGATATATTTTATGAACTTGACCCGTTTAAATAAAACCTAAGTCTGATCAAATCCGACCATTTGCCACCTCATTTAACACATTGTTCAAGTTAATACAAGAAGAACCTCCTGGACTAGCAGCTTTCTCTGCTTCCTCCTTCCAATTCATAGCTTTCAACTTCATCTTCTTTCCCTTTTCGCCATCCATCAATTCCCTCACAAGAATCTCAACTTCATTTCTCTTCAGATCAACTATCTCCATTCCCATCTCCCACTCAATACAACTGTACCTACAATTCGTCTGTTGCTCCGCGAAAAACGGCCAACAAAGCACTGGCACTCCTGCACAAACACTCTCTAACGTTGAATTCCATCCACTATGAGTCAAAAATCCTCCGATCGCACGATGTTTCAACACTTTCTCTTGAGAACACCAATTGGCTATCATCCCTCTGTCTTTAATTTCACTTAAAAAATCTTCTGGCAATTTTACAGAGTCCCTGTAATTAAATCAGGCCTAATGATCCATAAAAATTGCTTCTTAGTATTAGCAAGTCCCCATGCCATTTCTATAAATTGATCAAAATTCATCACAGTTATACTTCCAAAATTCACATAAACAACTGAATTTGACTCTTTTGTATCAAGCCATTCAATGCAGCTCAAATCTTCTTTCCACAAATTTGAACCAATGGATTTGAGATTTTCATCAATTGTGTTATTGAGCATGAGCTGTAAAGGACCAATGGTGTAAATATGAGGATGTATGGCGGAAAGGGCATTTAAGGCATTATGCTCAAAGGCATCAAATGTGTTCAAGACTATAGCTGAGGCTTTAGAGATTCTTTCAGTTTCATTTATGAAGAAATTAAGCATAATATCATTAGGATCTGTTGTTCTGATGAAACTTGGAAAATCTCTTAATCTCATGTTTTTCAATATTCCAGGGACCCAATCTATCGTCTTTTCCAAGTATCCGTTTGTAATGTCATTTTCATCTGCACAGTGAAAGAAAAAGAAACATATATGAGCAGAGATAGATGATGAATTTGAACTCGAATATTTAATTTAAAACACATTTTCCGCTATTACTCGTGCGAAATCATGAATATAACTTTTGTAAATAGTGCAATTTATCTGGAAAAATATAAAACTTTTTGAATGAAAGGGGAAATATGAAAAAAAATAATTCAACCACTCATCTTAAACTTTAAAGAATTCAATTATTTTGAAAAATGAAAACTTTCCAAAAGTTTAGTTAATATGGAATAGATGAGTACAAAGTATCAATTAATAGAAACAGAGTTGTAAAATACTTCCTCCATACCTATTTATTTGTCAAATATTTCTTAATTTGATTTCTTTTTTTATTTGTCATTTTTGACAAATCAAGCAAGGACAATTTTTTTGCCTATTATACGCTGAATTTATTAACATTGAGTTAATATCTTTGAAAAATATAATGTATAAATATGTTTAAGACTTTATTAATTATTAAGGACAAATAATAAACTCACTATTCTAAACATTATTTTCTAAATACGTGTGTCAAATTAAAATTTAACTAATAAAAAATAAATGAAAGGAGTAGTTATGTCAAGACCAGTAAAAATGAATGGTGGAAGTAAATGATTTATAATAGAATAGAGAGAGCCCATATTATTGATTTATGGGCTCCATATAGTCGTGTTCTAATAAATTTTTTTCTTTAATTGAATGTAGTACTACTTAAATTGGAACGGTTTCCCTAAAATTATACCAAATACACCCATAATATAAGCATAATTGACCACTCGCCGGAAGGATAAGGTTTCAAAAATATGATGATTTAAAGTTTTTGTCTTCTTTAATGCATTTAAATCAGCTTTCGACCCTTATGTCCCATCAAAAGTATCGGTTGGACGTTTTTAATTTATGATTAGGACCAAAAGGAGAAATAATTTTACTTTTCACAGTCGTATACGATTCTCTAACTACATTGTTGAAAATGATTAATTTGTATGAAAAAGAAAGAGTCTCCAACCCTCCAACTTTCGTTTCTAAGAGATTCAAATCTTATTATATTATTCATGATGTTTTTAGGTTGAATTTTTTCAGCTGGCGAGATATATATATATATATATATGTTTTAATTTATTTGTTTAATTTTGACTTTAAAAGTAAGTAATTTTTTTAATCTTGTACTGATCATAAACTAAACATGTGTATAAGGTATAAAAGTGTCATATAATTTTATGGTATTAAATATGCTAAGGTGGAAAGATAAAAGTAAATAGTTGTTGAAAAAGAAGAAGAGGAAAGAGACATTTTTAATAAAATGGACTAAAAAACAAAGTAAGATAAACAAATTGAAACACAGGAGTCTTATAAGTACTTCCTTTGTCCAATATTATTTATTCACTATTAACTTTGCACATTTTTTAAGAAACTATAAATAGAAGGGTTATTTTACTATAACACCTTTAATGGGAAGTGACTATAGTTAATGACAAGGGTAAATTATGAATTAAGTAAACTTACCCATTAATTTCATAAAGTAGACATGTATTGTTGGACATCCTAAAATAGTATAGTGAACAAATAGACAACTATTGTTGGAGGAAGGCAATACAACTTAAAATCATTTATAGAAGCTTATTTACTTATTACTCCCTCCCTCCGTCCATTTTATTTGTCATGTTGCGCTTTTCGAAAGTCAATTTGATTATTTTTAAAGTTAAATTAGATTACATTATTCGATATTTTAAACAAAAAATTCAGTTATTCAAAAACTAAACGAAAAATACTATAAATTGCAATTTTTCGCATATGAATATGATGAAAACATATATTGTAAAATGTTAGTCAAAATTCTTATAATTTGACTCTAAAAAAGAAATTATGATGTAGTATGAGTTACACCATTTATTTTAAGTAACTCGATCCTTGTTTAAGTTACCTTGTTTGTATTAAGATTTTTCATGGCCATAGATTTAATACGATTTTGATAGATTAAGAGGCCGTTCAGAAAGGAATTGAAAAACAAGAAGATTTGTGGCAAGGTAGATGTAGAATTGTTAAATTAATTAATTACCTTTAAGAGGAGTGTATCCTCTTTGAACAAGGTGATGATAGTGCAAATAACACATGAAACCACAAGCACTTGCAGTCCAAAACAACACCTCCGGAATACCCAACTCCTCAGCAACATCCAACGTGAAACTCATTACTGCATCAGACACGATACACGTCACTGGAGGAACAACGCCGTTACCATCCGCGTTAATTTTATTAATAAGGTTGCGGAATGGTACCAGACAATTCTTAGATGTAGAAGCACAAAGAGAAGGAACATGTTGTGTGGCATCAACGTCGTGGTCTGTCGATGGGAGGCCGTCCGGTATGGTCTCGAACCGGAAGTCCGGTAATCCATCGAGAGAGTGTGGACCGTTGGACCGGAGAAGACGTTTGTGGTTAAATTCAGTGTTAACAAAAGTAATGTAAAAGCCATTGTGATGAACAAGTTTGGCTAGTTTGAGCATTGGACTTATGTGACCTTGTGCTGGATAAGGTACGCACACCACATGACCACTTTTGAAATTTGCAAAACTAGCCATTCTTTTTTTTGAGTCTGTCAAGTAATTGTGGTCACTTTTATAGCCACATTTATTTGTATATGATGTCCATTCCGATAGGGCTCAGTAAAAATGGACGATAAGACTTTTTAAATTAATTTGCAATATTTGCTAATTACTCAATTTAATTATTTCTCTTACCTAATCGATGAAAAAGAACATTATATGTATACCTTCTATAGAAACAAGAAAACACTGGGCCACATCATTTTTTTTCTTTTCGGTTCCGGTGTTTAGGTATCCACAAAGCCCCACTAAATTTGAGAAAGTCCCACATTGGAGTTAAAGTGTCCCATAACAAAAGTAACTCCATATCTAGAGAGACTCGAACCTGACAACATTTCAACATTCTTCGTAATTGTAGTATCTATACTAGTTCTCCTCTATTTCAAATTTATATGACGCTTTCAAATTTAAATTATATGAATTTTAATTCACATTTTAAAATATAATATTCCATCGTAATGATATAATAAGAATTATAATTTATAAAAATATACTTTTTAAAAAATATAAAAAAAAATTAAAAATATAATTTTATAATAACAAACTAATTAAATTTAACGCTCTTGACGGGAAAAAAGTAACACATAGCGATTACTACTAAAAAATTATACAGCCGCCTCTCCACCTACCGGGTATTTGTTCAGAACTTTAGGTTTGTGTGCCAAACTTTTTACTCGAGATTAAAAAGAGATTATATTCAAGAATAATTATACTAATATTAAATAATAAGATGAGTAATTTTTTTAAAAATTATGTATACATGAAAGTGTTTTATAAAATAAAAATAATTAACTAAAGATAATAATAAGAAAGGGAAGGAGAAAAGATATACTCCCTCCGTTTCAAAAAGATTGGTCTGGTTTGACTTGGCACGAAGTTTAAGAAATTAAAGAAGACTTTTGAATCTTGTGGTCCTAAATTAAAGTTATGTCAAATGTACAAAATTGCCCTTAATCTTGTGGTCTTAAACATGCCACGTGGAAAGCAAAAAGTAAAATGTTACCAAAAAAGGAAAGGGGTCATTTTTTTGAAACTGACTAAAAATGAAAGGAGGTCATTCTTTGTGAAACGGAGGGAGTATATCATTTCAGTTTTTAGTATCATCTCATAATGAAGGTAGCCAGCCTACTTATAGGCCAAAAACACGTGGTAAGAAACTGTAACATCTCGCAATTTGAAATAGCTAGGAAAAAGCTAAGAATTTGAAATAGTCATTTTTGGAAAGAATAAAAATTTGGAAATTTACTTAAGTTAGGAAAAAGGTTAGTTTTTGGTCAAATTCAAACGAACGTAGCTCCTAGCTCAGGATGAGTTAGGTGTACTTCTAGGCATGGTTGGAAAGCTCTTGGAACGATCTTTCCAACGCCACCAAGATTGCGCTAATCTGAGTTCGTATGAGTGAGATACGCCCATTGGAAGTTGGGCTATTCAAATAAGGAAATGTTCAATCCGGATTTTTGAAAGGTATTTCAGTCTTTTCCTTGTCCAATTAATTAAATTAGTTTTACTGAATTAATTAAGGGTCTAAACTGAACTTGGTCAGTTTTATGCTTTTGGAAAAGAGTTATGGTTTTAGAGAAGAGGAAAGAAGAGGAGAAAAGAAAAGGAGAAGCAAGGAAATCGTCAAGTTCGTCGAGTTTAGCTTGTGGATTTCGTCGGGGGTGATCCCTACAAGAAGGGAAACTTTGATTTCTAAGATAGCCTTTGAGTTAAGTTTTGAGCACTAATCTCAAATCACAGAAGAAGTATGTTTTTAAACATAAAGAGCTAATATAATATTTTTGGGAGTAATATTGAGCACCGATATGGGGAAGAGTTAAAATAAGTATCAGCCCCCATAAACCATGTAGTCGTCATGGGTAGAAAAGGGTCATACTTTTTAGATGAATCCTTTTCACATAGACTAGTGGATCCACTTAGTGAGTTAGATTCTTATACCCCGGCAAGGTATAGAATGGTCCTTGGCAGCGTGAGGTAAAACGTTGTACCACCACTTAGGCTCATAGTGGTGGTTGTCAGTTAGAGAAACTCCCACAACAGTAATTGCATGGTTCCTCAATGGGTTCTGGTTAGTATGGATGGAGGTATGGGATTTCATTCATGCATTGCACAAATAGACTTTAAGAGGGATCATGATATATCTTTTATGATTTTATGATTATGAGTTGCATCATGTTTTAAACAGTTTTCTTTTCTTTATATTGCACTTGTTTTAAACTGCTTTATAATGAAATGAGTTTAGTTAAGTATTCATAAGTTGAGAAGAGCCAAGGTAAGTGTTTTTTTCAGATCCTTTTCAAACCTGTGTTATGTTTAGCTTTCCAACTCGCATACTCGTACATTCAATGTACAGATGCCAATTGGCCTGCATCGTCTTATGATGCAGACGCAGGAAACTAGGATCGGCGCATCGTTGATCCAATGAGCAGCTCAGAGTCTGTTGGTGAGCCTCCTTGAATTCCGGAGGATCCATTTCATTGTTGTCTAGTTTAGTTCATTAGGATGTTGTGGGGTTTGTCCCAACATCCATCTCAGTTGTTATTAGAGGCTTCATAGACAGTCAGATGTTAGTTCTTTAGTCTTTTCATTGTCATTTATCCATGTTGAGATTTGAGTTTGCCTTAATGGTCAGTAGAATGTTTCTTTATAACATTCCAATTTATTATATGAACTTATTTTTGTTGAGTTTAAGTCTTCCGCTGAGCTAAGTAAGCCAGGCCAAGGGTTTGCTTGGAGCCAGCAATGGTCTTCGAGTGCCAGTCCCGCCCAGGGTGTAGACTCGGAGAGTGACAAACTATCATTCACAAGCTATTTACTAGCTTGCACAAGTTGTGAACTAGTTTTCATACTTTTAATATAGCAATTACACACACGGTACACACGCTTCATAATGGCATCTATAATTTCACAACCCTTCCCCTTGAAATGTCCATATCTCGATTGATAATATGCCTTAATAAAATGTTAACTAAAGAAATTTTGGTGAAAGAAAAAGAGTACATATATCTTTAAATATACATTTGCTTGTTGCCTCACTAAAAACTTTGCTAGGAAAATCCTTTGGGACAAAATCTAGGTGAAGGAAAAAAAGAGTACAATGCAATTTTACTCCCTTGAAGAAGAGCACGATTCAGATGGTGGAGTCTTCGCATTCCAATTTTGTGTACCATCTTCTCAAAAGTTGAGGTTGGTAAAGATTTGGTGATTAAATCTGTTGGATTATCACTTGAATGAATTTGTTGTACATCAATATCACCATTCTTTTGGAGATCATGTGTAAAGAATAATTTTGGTGAAATGTGTTTTGTTTTATCTTCTTTTTATGAAGTCTCCTCTTAATTGAGCTACGCATGCAACATTGTCTTCAAAGAGGATTGTGGATACCTTGATATCACATTTTAAGCCACATATTTCTTTGATGAAATGTATCACTGATCTCAACCATACACATTCTCTACTTGCTTCATGAATAGTTATTATATCAACATGATTTGAAGAAGTAGCAATAATAGACTGCTTCGTAGATCGCCATGATATATATAGTAGTACCTTCGTATGTGAACAGATAGCCTGTTTGGGATCGAGCTTTATGTGGGTCAGATAAATGACCTGCATATGCATGACCAACAAGATCTACATTATCATTGTTAGCATAAAAGATACCCATATCACTAGTCCCCTTTAGATATCGTAATATATGTTTTACTCCATTCCAATGTCTTCGTGTAGGGGAAGAACTATATCTTGCTAACAAATTAATAGAAAATGCTATGTTAGTCTCGTAGCATTAGCAAGATACATAAGTGCACCAATTGCACTCAAATATGGTACTTCAGGACCAAGAGGTTCTTTATTCTCTTCTTGAGGTCGAAACTGATCTTTACTAACTTCAAGTGATCATACAATCATTGGAGTACTTAACGGATGTACTTTATCCATGTAAAATCGTTTCAAAATTTTCTCAGTATAAGCATATTGATGAATGAAGACCCCGTCTGCTAAATGATCAATTTGCAGACCAAGACAAAGTTTTGTCTTTCCAAGGTCCTTCATCTCAAATTCTTTCTTTAGATATTCAATTGTCTTTTGGACCTCTTCTGGAGTTCAATGAGATTAATGTCATCAACATAAGCAACAAGAATAACAAATCCTGATGTTGTTTTCTTAATAAAAATACAAGGATAAATTGCATTATTTATATAACCTTCTATTATCTAATGTGGAAATTTTTATTTAAAGTAAAATATAACTACTCAAAGAAACATTTTGATGAAATGTCGTTACTCTAAAAATGTTCTTTTAGTCCAATTTATTTAAGGTTTACTGTTGATGTAGAACGTAAATAATGATTTAATAAAATTTGTATTTTCATTTTAATCCCGGCAACTTTTTTTATCATAAGAAATTTTGAATAATACGTACGTAAAACATTCTCTAGAGTCCGTTTAATTTAATTTATTTTTAAAAAAAATATTGTATTATTTTGTTAAATTTTAAAAATAATAATTTATTTAAATTAAAAATTGCTAGATTTAGAGAGAACTAAGATATGCAAAACAAAATTATTTTTTATTTCAGCATCAACAAGAATGTCAACTCTTTTTAACACCACCTAAAACGTATTCTTCTTTTAATAGAAAATGCAAGTTCAGTTTGAACAGTTAAATTAATTTTGATTTTTAATAGAATCAAAAGGATCATTATTTGATTTAGATGAAGAAATAAAATAGTAATGTGTATTGAGTTAAAATAAGATTAATCTTAGGCCTCACCACCAGTTATCATTTAATTGGTTTGTCAGACAAATTGGTGTGTGTTTGATATGAAGCTAGCGTTTGGCCATAGATTTTTAAATATTCTTGACAAATATTATTTGGATGAAAATTTGGATGAAATTTTACCATTTGTTTGGCCATAGTATTTGGGAAACATATTTAACGTTTTTTAGGAAAATATAATTTATACCCATAAGTTTGTATTACAAGTCAATTGGATCTTCGTTACAATAAATAACAAGTAGTGTTCATGACACTGGAGTAATGTGATAGTTTGGAGTAAGTGCAACCAGTGGCGAATTTAGAGCCAAAAAATAGGGTACCTGCACCCGTGGTCTCTTCATAAAATTAGATATTTTATATATATATTTTTTAAGATTTTGTATAATATTATATTCTGACATCCGTACTACAAGAAGTCTAAATAGTCCACATGGTTAAATATTGAGTTGTTGACCTTGAGGATTGAGGATCGATTCTCACTTCAATACATTTTACTTGGTGCACTCATGTTCGAAAAATCCTAGATTCGCCTCTGAGTGCAACAAGCATCATTCCATACATCGTGAAATAGACAAAGCACGTGACTTTGTTACCTTAAGCCGATTGTTTATCATTTTCATCAACAACCATATCATTACTTTCATATTCACTGAATATTTCATCACTACTTTGGTGTTAACGGAAAAAATTATGTAATACAACGCAAACAACTACTATAGAGGATGTTTTTGTAAAAAATAAAAGTTTTGTGTAAAATTTCAATTTTTAAAAGATCCCAAATAGTTAGATTTGGCCCAAATACTAGAAAAAACTAGTCTTTGGAAATTTGGGATATTTGCCAAAAATATTCGCCAAATAATGGCAAATTCTATGAACAAACACTCTTTGCCAAATTTTCCCTAAATATTACTTGGAAAATCTATGGTCAAATGGATCCTAATAAAATGTTTATAGAATATTACTTATTTTTTCCAAAAATATTTTTATTTTTTTATATCTGCTTGGAAAATAAAAAATACTTATTAAAGATTGATAAAACAGGGCCATTTCTGTACAGAAATTGTCAGAAACACTTGCAACTAAGCTATAATGCACATGTCCACGAACAGACGGATTGAGACATAATATAACGAACCCAAACCTGTTTTTATCCGCACAAATTTAGATAAGTAGGATTATACTTACTTATTTTAAGTTTGATTGAATCCACTCATTTGTTACCTCAAACTGAGAGTGAAAAGCACCTCATTAAACAATTTATTCAAATTAATACAAAGAAGAACCTCCTGTAAAATGATGTCAATCATAATTCATCAGAATGCAAGTTCAGTATCAAGTAAACAAAAAAACAAATTGGAGGGTGGTAAAACACAATTCCTACATCTTATTTCTACCTTATAACTCCACTCTTTATTCATGTACAATTTCTTCTTTTCTGGAATCATTTGACTGCATTCTTGGCACATAATGTGTGTTCAGCTCAACTTATAGCTTACAAACTAGTAAAAGCCACAAAAAGTGACCACCTAAAAATTTGGTACCTAGTTGTTCTGTGTCTTGTTGAGTTAATTCACAGGCGCAAATTGTTGATCAATCAGTTGTTGAGCCCCTTCAACGATCCTCTTTATCACTTCACCTGCGGGTAGAATTTCCTTGATAAGACCGATGCTCTCACCAGCATACATCGCCATGCTTTCTATATCGCCAGTAGTTGTGGCATTTGGTACAGTACCAGCAAAACGACGAACCTCTCTTTCCTGTTAAATGAAACTAATTACTACTACATTCTTAAGAACTAGGTACAGATAGAAGAATTTCACTCATGTTTACGGTTCACATACTTCTCCCACAACGAGATTAAATGCATAGGATCAAGTATCAAATGATAAGACGAGCTGGTATCAATGTCAAATAAAAAACTAACAAGTTAACAACATAAAAGGTTGATCACAGAATGAAGAGTCATATATAGGATAGGAACATTTTCAAGATTGTGTTAGGAAGAATGTAATCTAGGATACTCACCCTGCCATGTATGATTGTGCGGCCAATGACAGGTTGATTTGACTCATTCTCATGACTTGGGAGCGCCTTCCATTCCATGAAGAAGGGGGTTGCCAGAACACGTTGTGGTGCCCCTGGCCACCTTGCACGACCAAATACGTCTGTGTACTCTGTTTGATCAAATTCAATCAGCTTCCTCTTGTACGTTGGGTGAGCATAGCTTTCCTCTGTTGCAAGAAACCTGAAAAGGTATAAGATATTGAAAACTTGGCAACTGGTTTTCGTATAAACAAGGACATGAATAGTTTTTATGTGAGGAAAGTTCCTAAATATTCCTAGCTGATGTGCTGAAACATCTATTATCATAGGATATTTCAGCATCTTGTGGCATTTATTTCATCATTCCATCTGTACTGTCAAGACCAAAACATTTTAGAAATCAGAATTGTGTCTAGAACTTTTTCATTTTTTAAATTCTTGATGCCTCATACATGTGAATGTACAACGAAAATAATCTATTGAAAAAATAAGAGTCCACATTGACCAACGACATCAATCCTACAATGATGTATCTATCCCCTAAAAATGCACATAAGAAACTATCTAAGCAAGAGGGCATAGTAAACTGCAATTTATAAGTGAGACCTAACTTCTAAACAGCAATGGCCCAGCATGATTAACAGGATATAAGCCGGAGAGGAAGCAGGTACTGATAATAGATTAAACACCTTTAAAATGTTAGAACTAAAAGATCCATACCTGGTACCTAATGAAACACCCTGTGCACCAAGGGCCAGAGCAGCAACATAACCACGCTCATCCACTATTCCTCCAGCAGCAATTACTGCAATGTCACGACCACGAACAAGATCGACTACTCTAGGCAATAAGGTGATTAAACCATCCTAAAAGGAAATCAACCAAGTAGGTCATATATTATTCGATAAGTAATTTCACAAAAAAGTGATGATGAGATTGACTTCAACAGAAACAATGAGGATTTGAGGGGAAGAGGGGGGAGGGGGAAGTGCTTGAAGTGAAATATTCTCAAGGAAGAACAAATATTGTTAACTTGATGAAAAAACTAAAGCACATCATGAAAATGATCACAATTATACCTGGCCAATTACATGGCCTCCTGCTTCCCGACCTTGGACAATAATTGCATCTACACCAGCATCAGCAGCTTTCTTTGCTTCTTCATAGCTGCCAATCTTAAAAACAACACGTGTGCTTTATAAGCTACATTTCAGGAAAAAGTAGGTGAAGGTAAATTATCTATTCTTTCACAAATGTACTCTACAGCAAAAAGCAGAAGCCACCTAACTTGAAGAGGCAACCGCAATCATGCTACAGGATAAGAGGGAAGCTAAGAATAGAATACTTCAAAATATATCACTAGACATATAACAACTATGTCTCAGTCCAAAACAAGTCGGAATCGGCTATATGAGTAATTGCAAGAAAGAACTAACTCATATAAAAAGCAAAAAAAAGGATTATCTACTATTAATTGGTATTCTTACATAATTCAAAAACCAAAATACTGGGGGAAAAAGGGATACTGCAGTACATAAAATAAGGATGAATATAATTGATTTGAACTTCTTTTTGTTCTTTGCTCATGTCTAAGAATGTGTATCATTCAGGTGAAGAGTTACATTCGTTGATGAGCGACATTTCAACTAGAACAAGCAGAACAAAGGCTCCTAAGCTGCATAGAGCAATTTAAAGTGAACCCCACACTAGCCCAGTTAATTAAATGCACAAAAGGATCTAACATCATGTAATGCCAAAAATTAATGATAGGGAGAAAGGCAAGATTTGTGATATTCAATGACAAATAGTGAATTTTTGAAAATGTGAAAAGAGTTGTGTTGAAAACTTACTTGTGGTACAACTTTGACCCCAGCTTTATGAGCTTCAAGAACCAACTCCTTTGAACATTCACCCCAATAAAGCTGCAATACTGCAACCTTCTCATCCAATATAGCTTTTACATTTTCCTTGTGAGGAAATGCAAGAATAACACCTATCCCAAATGGTTTGTTAGTTAAGGTTCTAGTCTTTCTTATGAGCTCTCTCACATAATCAGGATCTTCCTGCCACACACAAAAAATTACACTGTTAGACTCCACTGCCCTTCTAGAGGACTATCAGTGGCGAAGCCAGGAATTTCACGGAGGGTGTCCAAAAAAAATAAAAATGGTTGCTAGTGAGATTCAAACATGTGGGCATCCCACGAAGGGTGCCCAAAAAAAGTGAAAAAATACTAGTGAGATATGAACACGTGGGCACCCTAAGTACTGGCTCTTTCAAAGCGTTTAAAACAACTAGGCTACAACACCTTGTTTTGTCAAGGGTGTCTAGATTCTAGAATATGATATTTAATCACTTCATATATCATTTTACTTATATATATATATATATATATATATATATATATATGGTATTATTTTCCAACGAAGGGTGTCCAATTGACACCCTAACTATAACATAGCTACGCCCCTGAGGACTATAGTTTCAGCAGCGCGTTTTACTATAATGGACACTTCCATCATGCTATGAGCGAACAATTCCGAGTCTAACCAAAGATTGATTAAAAGACAAGATAGCCATTGACTGAACAGGGTTGACCTGTAAAAACAAGTTCACTACACAACTTATTCTTGTGCTTATATTTCTTTAATTTGGGGGCTGGTAAGAAGAGGGGATTAAAATTAAGCTCTCAACTTTTCTGTACGGTAACAAATTAAAATAGGAATATAGCTAGTAAGAAAAACATAAAACAATCTGAAATTTCGGTACATTTGAAGGGTTTTATTACGACACCGTAGACAAATCTCACATCAATAAATCAAGATGCTCACACCCTAGTGATGCATTTTAAAGCCAAGCAGACAATATTACTAGTAAGCCGATTAATGGGAGAAGAAACATATCCAATCAGGAACTCTGAGAAAACCAAGAGCACCAGCATTAGCAACAGCAGCAACAAGCTGTGGACTTGAGATATCAGGTCCCAAGGGTGCTTGAACAATCCCATACTCAAAACCCAAAATTCCTCTCCAACCCATGTCTTGCCCAAAAACTATTCAATGTTTCTGGCATCCAATATTGGACATGCTTTTATAGTAGACAAACGGCTTCTGTCATGTGCATTTTTTTTATATATAGAATACGGTACAAAGTTGTCGACTATTGTGAAATATGCGTAAGCCACTACGTCGGTCTAACAAAGGAGGAGTCTCTGTCAACATTTGGAAAATGATTGAGCTGACTCAGATTCAATCTTTTCTGAAAAAGAAGATGAAATGTTGATCCATAAAATATTAGCATACCAGAAATTCGGATCCTCTGCACTTTTGTTCTTTTGTTTTATGTTGATATGAGTATAAATTTTTGTCGTCCCAATAAATATTTCTCTATTCAATTTACCAGTGCTACTTTTATTTTTAGTCAATTCAAAAAAAAATTACATTATTTAAACATAGAAAAATTGCACTTCCTCTGTTTCACAAATAATGATCTGGTTTGACTTGGCACGAAATTTAAATAAATAAAGAAGACTTTTGAATCTTGTGGTCCTAAATTAAGTTATGTCAAATGTACAAAATTGTCCTTAATCTTGTGGTCTTAAACATGCCCCACGTGGAAAGCAAAAAGTAAAATGTTACCAAAAAAGGAAAGAGGTCATTCTTTTTTAAATTGACTAAAAAGGAAAGGAGGTCATTCTTTGTTAAACGGAGGGAGTATATAATAACAAACTATTAATTCAAATTAAATGTCATAACCACAATTTGATTTAATTGTACCGCGTAGCAAACTGTTGTTATTTCGCCTCTCTCCCCGGTGAATCTCGCTCACCACTCGCGGCAGTCTCTCCCTCGCCTCTCTCGCTTTTATACAAACAAAAATATATCAAATGCGTTTGTTTTTGTATAAAGCGAGAGAAAATTGTATATATACATATATTTTTGTTCCCCCTCTCCCAGATCTCGCTCGCCACTCTCCCAGATCTTGCTCGTCAGTCTCTCCCCGCCTCTCTCGCTTTATACAAACAGAAATGTATAAATTGTGTTTCTGTTTGTATAATGCGAGAGAAAATTGTATATACACATGCAAATATATATATCTTTGTCTGATACACTTATAATTATACAATACAAATATTCTCCTGTCCAGTTTTGTTTTGCCTATCTATCTTTCTCGCTTTATACAAATACATATTATACAATTGATCCTTTTGTATATGTATACCGAAACAGATTATACAATTGTTTCTTTTGTATATATGTATAGTGAAATAGGCAGCTTCTTTTGTATATATGTATAGCGAAATAGCCATAGCAAACATAAAGTTTGTTATGAAACACAATTATTTAAATTATAGTTATAATATACAAATATGATTTTGTATTTGCTATATGTGAAAGTTGCTTTAAACATTGAATGACACTATTAATATTTTTAACTATTAAACACTTAACTTATAATTTCAAATTTAATATATATTTATTAATTTGTGAAAATAGGCTTCTTGTAAATACTCAAAACTAAATTACAACATTAGTCGAAGTAGGTGTCTATGATTTGCCACATTTATAAAAGGGCCCTTTTCGGCCCAAATGAAACTCGTTCTCCTTGGGCCATTAAGTGGGCCTTTATTACGTCTTACGTTTTCCGTAAATAATCTTGACCCATTAATGAAGTAATTAATTGGGCCGTTAACCCAAATTCATTGGGCTTTTCTTCGCACAATTGATATGGGCTCCTTAGGCCAAATAGTTGGGCCTGAATTACGTTTGTTGACCATGAACACATACACAGCTAACTATTGTTATCTTCTTCTTCTTCTTCTTTTTCCAATGGTCTTCTATACTCTTTTTTATTATTTTTTTGTTATCTATTTTTTTTTTTTAAATATTACTTCTCTCATCCCATTTATTAGACAAGTTAATTAAATTTTTATAATTGTATATAGCCTAAGTATTTTTCTGGTTAAAGAGGCTATATAATTATTTCTTTTTTTCTCCGGTTTTGTGAAGTTAGGTTGATGCTGATCAATGATCATCTACTTCACCTTTATATTTTTAAATCTTTATATCTTCAATTTTTTTATTGAAAACGAAATAAAAGCACAACAATATTTCATGTAACTTACTGAAATATTAATTGATCAAAATCATAAAAGTAGTAATAAAAACATGACGGCAAAGCGAATACGATTCTTGATAAAATTAAAATTCACGAGTGAAAAAATTGTTGTTAAAAAAAATTCTGAGCAGTTTCGCAATTTTGTCACGGTTGAATAGAATCTCAATTATTTGTATTAGTATGACTTATAAAAATGGTAGGTTAGGAGCTAGGACTTAGGTAACGAATATAATTAGAACTTCTCATCTTAACATTAAATAATTATGTTAATTTACATGCTAAGCAACTTTGTAGTTTGCTAAGTTCTTCATAAAAGTGAACCACGGGTACTCAAAAATCGTGAATTGCATGCATGTAAAGAATTGACTAGTCTTAATAAGTCAAAGATTAGGTTTGATCAAAATATTATCAGGATAATATATATTGAAGGGTCTAAATTAGTTCAAAATTGTGTCAATGTTTGTTTTTCGACTAGTCTTTTTTTATTGTACTGTTGAAAGTCTTATTTTCTCCATTGATTGATTGAAACTTCTCTATCTGCTTCATCTAATCGAGAAAGAATCGTAATATAGAAGAAAAAACAACTACCAACAACGTAATAAATTTATTAAAATCTAGTTAATTTTCACGTGGAAAAAATGGGTACTTATCTCCATTTTGTGTTTTGTATGCAATGTTATATATCCTAATCAGTCATACAAATTATTTAATGAAACAATAATGTCGTGGGAATTATTGACTATGTTCACCAAAGGAATTAGAGAGGCAAACGATGTTTTGTTATCTTCTTGTCTTTTTCTTGATATATGGTATGTGGAATTCATGATTGTAGCTTTGTGGAATTCTGTCCATAAAACTTCTTTCATTCCACATATGATTTTCTTGTCATTTTGTGATATTTAAAGTCAATTAAATTGATTTATAATTTATTGATTGAAAGAATCAAATCAATAAAAGAAAAATCATATAAATAAGTAATTTTTTAAAAATATTATAGTAATTAATAGGGATTATTATCCAAAGAAGAAAAAATTACAAATTAGAAAGGGGAAACAATTATAATGATAACAAGTTGAGACAAATTAAATTCATTATTCACAGCCAGTAAGGTTGGAATATAATTGATCTTACTTATTATATGCATGTATTTTACGTTTATTTTTATATATGTGAACATAGGGGTGTTCACAGTTTGGATGAAAATCGATTCAAACTAAAAAACTGAACCAAATCTATAAAATAAAATCGATTTTATTTGGGTTTGGTTTTGGATTTTTGAAAGCCGATAGTATTTGGTTTGGTTATGGTTTTATTCGACAAAATCGAAGAAATAACCGAACCGAACCGATGAATTATATACATATATTTTATTAATATACATACTTAATATAATATTTTTATAAACAATTTTAAAGATCTTATACATATTTTCATTAAAATTTCTTTATAATTAACTTATTGAAAGCAAAAATGTCCAAGATAAAACGTTTATCTTATTGATTTCATGTATATATGAGTGTCTATGACAATTTTTTGTGGAACTGAAAATGTTATTGTCTCTTCCTTCTAGGCCAATATAGTGAATTTTAAAGCTTTATTGATAGTAAATTTAGTGATCGAAAGTTCAAAAACTTAAGTCATTCTAACTATTTTTCGTTTTGAATAAATTGTTGTCACTTTTTTTCACATTTTGAATGAATTGTTTCTTTTATTTTTGTGTATGGTTAATAACCGAATAACCGAATCAAACCAAATCGAAACCGATAACCACCAAACCGATAAGTGTATATTATATTTGGTTTGGTTTGATTTTGATAATTTTAAAACCAATTAAGTTGGTTTGGTTTTGATTTTGACCAATAACCAATCCAAACGACCCGTGTACACCCCTATGTGAACATATATATTCAAGTCATGGTGTATAATTAAGCCCATAGAACTTACTATTGGGATATATACTATTAACCATATGTTAAGAAATAATATTTATTATAGAATAAATATTTGCTCAATTTTAATAGATCATATATTCGTTTATGGTGTCTGTTTACTTATATAGTAGATGATTTAGTGTGTAGAGTTTTAGCTTATACACAGAGGATTAAATCATCGGTTCTTATAAGTATAAAGTTTTTTGTTCATAATCTAGGATGGAAATTGGACATGTCATCGGTACTATTGTAGCACCAGATTATATGTAATTTATCTTGATTATGGGAACGGTATAGTTCCAACTTCTTGTGCTAGTGCATTTTGTATGTATTGAACTATTAAATGTACTTATATTCTTAATCCTGATATAACTATTATGATCTGTATATATTAATTATCGTTTTGATTTATTAAAAGGTGAGATTCTAAGATGGGTCAATATGCCTGGTAGATTGAATGATAATAATATATATTGGTGAAATAATAAGTTAGTTGATGGAATCTAAGACTTGTTATAGAGATTGATTGATATGCCTTTTTGAGAAACTTATAAGTTTTCATCGTGTCAATCCTTGCAAGTGGATTTATGAATTCGACACATTAAATAAGTTAAGTAGTGGTCTAAAGAAAATTAATCATTAAGTTAAATTCATCAGTAATTTAATTTATTGATTAGTATCTGTAATCTTAACATGCGGAATTACATAAGTGTTTAATGGGGAATTTTGAAATATAAATAGAGGAGTGCAATTACGAACTATTAGTCGAATGATTTGTAATTTATTATGATAAGAATATTTGGAATTAATTATTTGGAATTATTTCCATAATAGAAAGCCTCAGTAATTAATTGTGTGGTCCCTACAGTGCACATGTTTAACTAGAACTCAGAATCCTAATTCTAAGGGGAAAAGGGGAGACAAACGTTGGTTTTCTTTTAAAAAGAAAAGGGATAAGGGTCTGAAAAATACCCCACTTTGGTCGAATTTGCTATTGCGATACTAA